AACACCGCCGGCGTTGGTCATGGGCGAAGCACCAAAGGTGCCGGCGAAGAAGCGCAGGATGATGAGCGTCTCAATGTTTTGCGCACCGGCGGCACCGGCGTTGAAGGCAGTGAGGGCGATGTAGGTGGCGATGAAGAGATACTGACGTCCGTACAGCTCAGAAAGGGGTGCCCACATGAGAGGACCGACGGCGAAGCCAACAACGAAGAGGGAGACGCCCAGGATACCAATTTCGGTCGACACCTTGAAGTCGCGAATAACCTCTGCGATACCTCCAGAGAAGGCCGTGCTCACAAAGGCAACGGCCAGGGTGGCGATGGCCTGCTCGATGGTGTAAGTCCACTTCTTCCACTTGGGGAAGGTCTGGGGGTTGTGGGCATCCTCGGGGAGGAAGTCAACGACAAAGGGAGCCTCGTGGGTGCCTTGTCCGGGGTATTTCCGTTGGAGGACGGCCTCTGTCACGCCGGCCTGGTCGAAGAGGAGGTGAAAGTAGTTGGCCTTGTTCACGGGCCTCTGGGCCTCGACATCGGCCTCGGTCGCCGTGATGGACGATGATGATGAGTGCGGCGTCGACGCCATGGTGACTGGCGGCTGGCTGGCTGTCCTCGTGGGTATTAAGCTTATCTAGTGTTGGACTGTGCTTGGATGACGATCGTCGTTGATGCTACGATAGGCGCTGAAGTCTAGGTCGGATGAGCGAGAGATCTGATCCGTAACCCGGAGACTTGGGACGGCCTATCGTCTATATACTGCGTAGGCCGGACTTGGCCTTGGGTGGGGATTTCCAATGAGATTTCCATCCCCTTCGTCGGTGCCCGTATCAACACACACACCCATCTCCATCGGCCAGGGGGGGTGGTGTTGATCCACCGGTGCAAGCCCACCCGGGCGGTTTGTCTTCCGCACGCCCATTTCCCATGACTAAACCGCACGGAGTCGGTCGTAGAGGACGGGGACGAACCAGCGGAGGGTCACTTATCTCCGGCTCGGGTTAGGATCGAACGCTTTGCAGGCAGTCTGATACAATACTTGGCGCGGGATCTGACAGGAGTCACAAGACGGGATTAGGCCAGGAGCCGCACGATTTGGCTTTGTCAGATATGCGATGGCAGGTGGTTTGCTGTGCAGGGAATGGACGAACGCAAGCTGAGGTCTGCAGAGTGGATCTCTACTTTGATCGGAGCAGAGCTTTTCTTCCTTCCTCCGTCCGTTTTTTTTTCTCTTTCAGGTACGTACCCGCTTGCGCCGCATGCACGGCGGAATGACGTGGTTTAGCGAAACCAAGGGACGGCCACACCGGGCCTAGTTCGCCGAGGCAACGTGCCAGAGACGATATTTCATGGGCTGGCGGCTCGCTAACGGGGACCCACCAACCGGGATGTCGGCGGACCTGGCCACCGTGCCGAGGTGCAGCCCTTCCAACTCCAACGGATTTCGAGACCATTGGCCTCGAGCCCTTCGACTAGGTATCAATCTGTCCCCCTATTTTCTCATTACAAAGCCTTGAGACAGGACATTTCGGACTTTGCTCAACTTCGTCTCACCCCCAAACGAACGCGCACGCACTCGTAGTCGGACTACTGCGAGGAGGCCGACCCTTTTAATATGTTTGACTGATTCATGGCAAGGGATTCATCATCGTCGACCACCAACGCCGTCCGAACGGCATCCCACCAACATACGATGCAGGTGCAGCTGTGCAGCAAACGACATGACGGATGAACTACTAACCAGGGGCTTATCGTCTGTTGGCGCTACGCTGTACGGACCTCCCAGATCTGGACACCCGGTGATAAGAGGTTGCGAACCAACCAGTCGATTCGAGCATTCGGTGCATCGGCCGAGCGACCATCGACAGTAGTCAGTCCTACGGATACATCGACGCTGTTGACTTGCAGAAGCAGGGCTTTTTCTGATTTAGCCTTTGACACCTTATTCATATTTACAAAGTAAAGGCATTCGGAGCCGGCCCACTACTCCGTACCCATCGGGACCGAATCTATAAAGTGCACGCAGTTGTGGCGTCCGGGAGGGCCCCTGCATGTCTGGCCTGCTTGGCTCCCGAGCCGTCGGCTCTTGCGAAAATCTGTAAAATTGCTTGATTGCCTGGACCGCCGCATCCCTCTTCCGGACTGGTCAGCCCATGAAATCTGGGTCTCGAAAGACCATGCGAGAGTCCCATTCGATCGTGCCGTCACAGATCCACCTTTTGCTTATCAACTCAACCTCGGAACTCGAGACTTGGCAGACCGCAGAGGCGCACTGTTTCTGTCTTGTTTTTACGGCCCACGGCCTTTGACCGAGCGGCTGCAAATCACCAAAGGCGAGCCTCGGCTGTCAATTGTTGTGGCGTCGAAAATAAACTCTCATTTCAATGTCACCCTGCCTAACCCATGCAATTGGTCCCGCTGGAGCTAAATGACGATCGATCAAAGGACAACATGTTCTAGAACGGCGTCCGTCCGCGATGCACAATCTCAGTCTCGCCCTCGCCGTGCATCCGCAAGGCGTATGCCTCCGCGAGCCTTGAAGTGCCTCATAAAGTCCGAACTGGGTCCGGCAGCGCGACGGCTCCGGTCCGCCAAGACCAATCCTTCGGCGAATTTTGTCGTCTCCTTGAGACTGGCCCCGAACAACTTCATCAGCTCCGGCCACGCGTCAAAGTGCTCGACCGAGTCGACCTTGATCTCGACGAGCCGGAGTTGGTTACCAGTCGAGATGATGGGCAAGAGGTGCATCAGCAACGACGTCTTCAGGTCCTGTCTCTCCTTTTCAAGGAGATCTGTCACTCGTTAGTCCGAACACCCCCGGGAGAGCACCCGACTTACAGCACATCCGCAGCGCAAACTCGATGTCGACCACGTCCTCGGCATCCACCAATTGTATGTACGGCACCGTGTGGTTCCAGACAAGCATGCGGGTGATCTTCTCAAATGACTTGGCCTCGTTGAGCAGGCCCGCCGCCAGGCCTAGCCTCCACAAGTCGCCGACCGTCAAGTGGTCAATCGATGGCTCGTGGTAGTGCAGCATGGTTTGCGACGCGTATTTGAGCGCGTCAATCAAGTCGTACTTGTCGGCGACAACCGCCACCTCGAGGATCGAGTCCGCTGCCGCGATCTGGCACACGCGCGAGTTCTGGTGGTGCAGGATGTTGAGGATTAGCTCCATGATCTCGGGGTCTTCGTCCGGGAGGCTGATCTTGACGGGTTCTGATCCCCGGTCCAGCAGTTTCTGCCCTTCGGAAAAGCGCGGCCCCAGCATCGCGCCAAACACCCTTGACGCCCGCTTCAGTATGAGCGAGTCTACGCGCAGCTCTGTTGTCTCCTCGCCGAGTCCTACGACGAGGATCACGTCGCCGTCCGGCACGACGGGCACGCCGCTGTAGTTGCGCGACCACATCCGCGCCGCGAAGCTGGCGGGCGACCGCACCTCAAAGAACTTTTCCTGTGTCGGCTTGTCGATCGCCATGTGCTTGCTGAGTGGTTGGTCCATTGTCGGTGGTCGGTGAAGGGTGACGATGACGAGACTTGCAGTGTTTTCCGTCCCCCGACTTTTTTTTCAGTAGTTATTTTTCCATCGCCACCGTTTAGTCTTTCCCCTCAAACGCAGCTCCTTGTGGAGAGTCATTCTGGTGGTGTCGTGCCAGGAAGATCCAGGCCCCTCAGGCTCGGATGAGACGCCCGGCGCAAACGAGATGCCCTTGGTGGTGTCTCCCCCGACTCAGCTCGCGGGCAGTGAGGTGAATGGCGTCAGAGTCGAGGCTGCTTTTGGTCGATTGAGTCTGGAGTTTGGCCGGGTTTCCCCAGCGGGACAGCGTGTGGCCTATGCGGGATGAGGCTGCCCCCTCACGTCTGCGCATAGCATGCGAGTCCTCCCTGCTGACGCGAGCCTTGTTGGGCCGGTTGAAACTTTGAAGGTGCATTCAGCTTGTGGCCCCAAGTCTTCTGTTTCGGGGTTTATCTGGCTGTCAAGCCCCGTGAGAGTTGTCTGATGGGAGTGTCTTCGGCGAGAGTGAGGAGGAGGAGGAGGAGGAGGAGGAGGAGGTGGTGGTGGTGGCTCGAGCTTGTCGGGAGGGGCAACGATGTCGGCCTTGGTCAGCAACAAAGGTCATCACAAAGGCCTGGGTCGAGTGGCCCAGCCGAGTTGTTTCGGTGAGAAAGTGTTAACACCCAGTCGTCGAATTCTGCTCGGTGTGGCTGAGATTGGGCACTTTGGTAGTGACCAAAGTCAATTCGACTGCGGCTGATCACGCGTCGGTGGTCCGCAGTGCTGTCACGGAGGCACGTGTTGGATGTGGCGGCGGAAGTCGTCCCATCTCTTGTTGGTCGGATGGCTGACATTGTTGGTCATGACCTGATTTGCGTACGATGGCGGGATATGCTGCAGCAAAGCCTTGGATTCGAAGAATCGTTAGATCTAGGCTTATGACGATGAGGCCTACATACCTTCATCAAGCGTCGTTCAGACTCTCTATCCTATTCTTTCATCAGTATTATCCAGAGAAAAGACAGCCGTTATTTCAAAAGATAGATGACAGAGACGAGATGATAGTCAGAGAGACCATAGACAAGATCAAGGGGCCTCGATATGACCACAGACCATATAAAAACACTCTTTTCATGCTCCAATCACCGCCATTCCTTCCTCGTGTGAGTCTGAGAACCATATGCAGTTTCCTTCCACAAGAGCACATAAGTGAATCGCTAGGGAATGGAACCCTGCCCGTAGATTACTCTGGGGGCGCCAGGATGACTTTAGGACTGCGGTCCAAGGATTTTCAACCTTAAATTCAGGCTTTCGCCTCACAAGAAGATGAACTTCAGACTTTCGCCTAGAAAGAAATGAGGTTCAGGCTTTCGCCCAGCGGCTTTTGTCGAGTAGTCGAGACGCTTCGTCGCAACGAGCTAGAGGTCAGAGCCGTCATAGCAGGCGAATGAATCCGACGATGTATAGATCGATATTGCGAGAGTTTTCCGAGGGAAAGGAATCGAAGCCTCGGTTTAGTCGTAACCAAGTCTGGCGCCAACATTGTTCTCATCATCATCGTCTGAATCACTCAAGGCACCGACGAAGGCTTTCCAGGTTTGGAAATCTGTCCGAGAGGATGTGCCAGTAGAATTTGCTGGGCGCGGATTGAGCGTCAGGACCGTCGGAGCACCAGAGGAAGAAATCTCATCGGCTTTGCGAGCAGGAGCAGGAGAAGAAAGAAGGGGCGTGGGGGGAACGACAGCGCCGGAGATCTCTGAGGCCACACCACCGTCGTTACCATATCGCTCCGATCTGATCTTCATCTCGTTGGTAAAGAACTCTTGTGTAAGCCGCATGCGTTCAGCGTCAGTTGGAACAGCGAGTCTGGATTCAATGTAGTCGAAGGCTCATCGAGCCATGTCAAAGTCATATCGCTGAGTTATTCGGGAAGCAGATGGAAGTGTGGCTGTGGGGTCTAGGGATGGAACGGGGAGTGGAATTTGCGCTGCTGAGCCGCTCGGGAAAGAGATGAAACTTCGACTGTGGGACCCGTGGATGAGACAGGATGGGGCATCTGTTTCTCAGGCGTTTCCGCAGCGCTGTTGGCTGCATTTGAATTACGAAGCCTGTGCCAAGCAGCGGCTGGAATAGCCTGATACGCAGTTAGAAAAGCGTCTTGTGTGTAGACGAAGTTGAACTTACGAGGTTTCTGCCTCTGTCTATTTGGACGATCAACTCGCGGGTGCCTCTTGGTCCTGGGTACATGACCACTTTGAGGTCTCGATCGGCCCTGACACAGTCGTTGCGCTCTCTGAACGAGACGAACACGACTCCATCATGACCCGACGGGCGATTCGAGGGAGGCCAGTTGAAGCTGGCAGAGTCCGGCTTGGCGAGCTTCCAATTGAGGAAAGCCTCGACGCGGGCCCTGGTCTCCGCAAACGGGAGGTTCTTGACTCTGAGAAGTCTTCTGTTCTTGCGGTAAGGAGCAAGGACAATGTCGAATCTCTCCTGGTCGTCCTTGTCGTTGGCTTCAATGCCGCGGCTGCCGTTGAATGCCATTCTGTGACGTGAATTAATGACTGAATCAACCTGTCATTCGTCGCACTTACCTGGGAAGTCTTGCTGAATGTAACTTGTTTTTCGTTTGTTGACGTTATTGAAATCTTTCCAGAGAAGTTGCAGTGGAGAAAACCTGATGCGTTGGTGAAAGGTACCTAAGGTAGGTGGATACCTTACCTAGGGAAAGAGAGGTATGGCCAAGCGAGGAGAGTGCATGAGGCAGGTACGTGAGGTAGGTACGTTCGCAGGGTAAGGCATCTTCTAAGGTTGTGCTTTCCAGGGCATCTTAAAAAGTTACCAGGCAGCGCGATGGTTCACTGCTCAAAACCGACCTTAGCTTTATTTCTTTTATTCCTATTACTGCTGCTACCACTGATACTACCGCCGTAATTGCTTCTTATCTCTTATGTATTCCTTGTGAAATACGTTTCAGAAAGCGCAGTGTGATACCAAAAATAACAATACGTAAGATATGGATAGTGTATAAGACGGAGCAGGCATGTGGTCTCTCGCCTCTCGGCTAGGCTCATTTCCTCCGGACGGGAACAGGAGGTGGGATAGAAGGCATCGAGCTGATCAAGTCAAAACAGACGCTCGGTGGCAGCACACAGAGGAACAACAGCCTCTGGTTCCGAATGCCCTGGTAATCACCTGCTAAATGACCGTGGCAGAATTCTCAGCTTGAGAGAAAGCCACGAGGGAAAGCGGGAGAACTTCCTTTAGTATAGATCATTGTCGGTGTCGTGTTTTGAAACACAGAATCTATATATCTCTGTTCCCTGGGGTTTCCGACCGATTCGCCATACGCCTAGCGATTTCTTCCAACTCGAGGATGGCACCCTCGACTCCATCAGCCTCTTCAAAATGCGCCTCGTAGAAGTCTTCATAAAAGCCTTGCTCGTCAGAATCTTGGTCGCATTCGTAGATGTACTCATGAAAGGCACCAGCAGCTCCGGCAAAGTAACTCATCAGGCTTATGCGGTATACAAGGTCGAGTAGATCTCAGCTTGGTAGAAGATCTGGCTGGGTAGATAGCTGAGGTCTGAGATACAGGAATACCACTCAGTACGTCGAAATTGCCCTGGCTCTCAGCTGGGCCCCCTTCTTCCAGATGAAAATGGGAAGAGGGACGGCAAGCATTGCGCCGACAAGGGCCATCAAGCTATTGGCCCAGCCGTATCCGAGTGCATGGTACATACTCGGGGCAAACAACGGGAACAGAAAAGCAGTCAAGCTCTTGACAAACTGAATCGCTGCCATGGCACTACTGGTATGCTCTGCGTACGCGTCGATCACGTAGGCCGTCACTGATAACTTGTCAGTCATGTCACCAATAGACCAAATCAAACTCACTAGGCATTCCACTAAGCTGCATGCCAAACATCATGACGACAACTCCGACATCGACTATCAGCCAGTAGAGGCGATACTGTGCTGTCCAGCCGTAAAACAGAGTCCCCAGCCAGGCCGGAACAATACCAAAGAATGCGAGCATGACTCGAGACTCTGGCGTAGGTTGGTCTCGGCGTTTATACAAGCGATCCAGTATCAGTCCACCAAATTGAGACCCGACAAGCTCTCCAAAAGAGCAGGCGATGTAGTGCAATCCGCTAATCTCCACAGACTGGCCGTATTGCTGTTTCCAGATGTCTGCAAAGGTCGACAGCGTGACATACAGGATACCATAGTTGAATCCCGACAGGACGGCCGACACCTGAATAATGGGATGGAAGAGAAGCAGACGAAGCGGCCTTGTCAGGGAGTTTCTTATGACTGCTAAAGTGGACTTGCCAGCGTCGATTCTCTCGCTGAACGTGTAGTATCTCGTTTCGCCGGTTTCCTTGCGGAGACGAGCAGCCCGCCGGCGTAGGATGAGAGGACTGTAGGACTCCGGGAAGCTGAAGAAGGAGACAAAGATCATGACAGCTTGGAACATGGAAGTGGACCAGAACATCCATCGCCACGTCGTGCGCGCCGCAATGAAGCCACCAATGATGGGGCCTAGAAGGGGTTAGCTTGGTTAGGTGCGAAATTGGGTCAACTTACCAACGGCCGCACCCAGCAGGGGTATGAGAAGATAGAACCCCAGAGACTGGCCTCTCTGTTCAGGGCGCCAGATGTCGCCCAGGACTCCACCTCCGAGTGCGTAAATGGAACTGGCGCCGAAGCCCGCCAGAAAGCGAGCGGCAATAAGCGTCCCCTTGGTGTTTGCGAAACCACAGAGCACGTTCCATATCAGAAACCATACGCTCGAGGCGTGGAGCACGACCTGTCGACCGTAGATCTCAGACATTGGCCCCATGACGAGGGGGCCAAATGCGGTGGCAAGAAGATAAATGGACAACGCCATGGCGGACTCGGTGGAGGTCATGTCGAGCTCCGCCGCAATGTTCGTCAGGGCGGGCGCCATGATTGTTGAAACCATGATGCGATTGAAACCGGTGGCCGATAGCACATCGGTGACCATCCATTTCCGACCCGCGGGCCAGTCGAGAGGGTTCTCGGCGTCATGCGGTTGCGTAAAGGTGACTAAGAAAGGATCCGAGTCCTTTGACGGGGTGGGACCGACCGGAGCGGGGGCAGTTGCGGCCGGTGCCGGGTCCGGAAGGGGGGCTAACTCCAAGTCAACCGACCTCGGTGCCACCGAGACTACACCATTGTCATGCTGAGCAGGATTCGCCATGGTAATGTTCGTTGAGGAATAGTGTTGATTGTGTTCTTATTCAATGGCAATGGCGTGCCGGATATCAAACGGCAGTCGATTGATGGCCGAAGATACGCCTGTTTCTGCAGCCTGGGGAGCACGAACAAGCAACGCGCAAACAAAGCTATTTGAGGCAGTAGAAATGAACAATCAGAAGGGTTCGTCTGTCTTTTCTATATGTCAGCGTTGCTCGGTTTCTGGCTGACAACCCTCGGAAATAGGAGGTGAGGTCGGATATGCGATGCGCCGACCTGCTCAAAGAAGATGCGCTAAAGCAGGCAGCAGCACGTACTATCTTACCTACTTCAAGCGAGAAACAAGCCATCACCATTTTAATGCGTCATTCTTGGGTTCCTACCGACGCAACAACATTGACTCGATCTGCAGGCTCTCCAAGACCGGTGCGCCTAGAGAGTCGGGTTCTCATGCAGGGAATACCACGTACCTTATTGATGCCATTGACTGGGGTACATCCACCGCCGTTGCCGGCCCCACTTCACCGTGCCAAGCCGACACCAGGCCTGTCTTCTTGACTACCTGCTTGCCGTATGATGGCCGTGACGAATGAATTCGTATTCGTTGCGCAGATAAGGCAAGTTCAGTCGGTTCAATGCCCTGGTCTATTCGGTTTTTTTAGTTTTTCTTTTTGATAAGCCATATCATAGCCTGGAGGGTAAAATGTTCTAGTTCGAGAGGGAGGAGATTGCAATTCATCACAAATCTCTCGTTCCCACATTCAAAATCTTTGTCCTAAATCCCACCTGCTTGACTGACGCTTGTACGCCTCTTAAATCTTTGTGTCCATAGTGGTACCGTTACCTCGGCCGTACTTACGTTTATCCCTCTACATATAGCCGACCTAGGAAAAAGGCGGGTTGAGCATGGCCCAAAGAAAAAGTTAATTCTATTCATACAACAGAACAGCAAAAGAGTTCACCCCCCCGGTGCTGAACTGGGGGCTACATCTCTGGCGCAATTTCTGGGACTCGAACTCGGATACTCGCTAAGCCTGTCGTCGAGTAGGCTGGTTGGCGTAAATCGATTGTTGACCATTAACCATTCCACCACCACGCCACAGTTTGACCTGACCCGTCGACCTAGACGGGCGCCTGCTGTGCTGGTGACAGGAATGGAATTGGTCTGACCTATATAGGCTTCACCTGTGGCGTCAGGGAACCTTGAGGCATAGCTTGAGGTTGCGGGAGCCGACGAACCAGGTGGAAGGTGCTAGGGTGACTCCTTTCTCCTTCCCTGTCACGTGCCTAGGGAGTGAACCGGCTACCACTGATCATCTCAGTTTCCCACCCTACTGCTCATTCGGCTCATATGTAGGTAAGAGCAGGAGTTCAAGATAACTGCCTCGTCAAATCAATTTCCCAGCGATGAAAGACAAGGCAATGGCATGAGAGGTGTTGATGAGGCGGAGCCACGAACTAAGGCAGTCGAAGCGTCACTTATCATCATTACATACCTCAAGTGTGCAAGAATTCGAAGACTGTGTTCTCTACAGAAGCTGGTTGACTTGACGAATACGCACCTCACGTGAAAAGAGACCGCCATATTCAGATATTCTTCCAGCTGCCCACTTTCACTCTCCCACCGTCTGATTTTCTCATTTCTCCCACTCTCTAACTTCACCTCTTTCACCTTCCACATACTCCAACACTTCCCATGTCGCCTCTTCCCAGCCCATATTCCGTTCCCCATATTCCACCCTTCCCAATTGACACAAACACCACAATTTGTGTTGTCAAGTGAAGGTAAGTAAAACTCGTATGATTCGGTACGCAATGGGTTTTAATTCTGATCGTATGTTCAGTGGATCATGGAATCTGAAGACGCGCTTCGGTGCGCAGTCAAACGAGAACGCTCTCTCTCGGATGAAGCCCAAGATTGCAAAAGGGCCCGGCAATCCTCTCCCCCAGCCGAACCCGTGTTTGGACGTCTTCAAGTCAACGCTGATGCTGATGGCATCAGCCAAGTCACCAACAAACGCCCCGACCAGGCAGTCATCGACTTCATAGCGGACGATGCATTTGCCTCGTACGGGTCACGCAAGCAGGCCTACAGAATGCTCGACAAGATGATGGAGCACGGCAATGGGGAGGTCTTCACTTGTGTCGTCCGCTTCGTGCCAGGACCCCCGTCCTCGCAATTACGAGGCCCAGAAATACCTGCGATCTCTGCTATACCGTCCTCGGACGTGCCTCCAGCGCCCTCCGAAATGCCTCCTCTGGAGCCGCCTCCTCCGATGCCCCTCGAGCCGCCTCCTCCGACATCTCTGGAATCGGTACCTTCACTCCCTCCTTCTCCCAAGCAAGGTGCGACGGAATCAGCCGCCAGGTCTAGTCGTGCTTTATCTATACAGATCAAGAGCGAAGTGAGTCCTGGAGTGGAGACTGGTCGACAGGCCACCGACAAGGTCGAGAGCAGCAATCGCCAAGTGGCGCGACCGGCTGGCCCCAAGACAGTTCGGCAGGCCCCTGCCCAAGACAATGATCGCCAAGTTGTGCAAAGGTTCGGAATGGATGATCCTATGCCTTCCCGAGAGTCGCCGGGAGACATGGCTATTGTCCCTGCCAGCGAATACCATCCTCAGCAATCGAGAAGACAAAAAACAAACGGTCGCGAAACAACAACCGTGGTAAAACCAATAATAACAACCGCCATGTCTACAAGTCCAGGCCAGATCCAGACACTCACATCATGTTCCGGAGGATGGGTTCTAGGCAGAGGAACAAACAATGCGCCAACATTATCTGTGGCAGTTTCTCGGACCGGGGCCATCACCTCTTGGGTTGCGTTTGGCCCGACGCCAGAGGTGATTTGGTGGGCTGCCCGTTCTGCAACACCAAGGAGCACGTCATGGACCTCTGTCCGCAGCAACCCTCTTTCGATGAATGGGGTGGGCGTATATTCTCATCTACGGTCGGGTCAACAAGCCGCTGCTGAGGACCACACGCAGCTGGTTCCATTATGCCCATATTGGCCACCGCTTCACCTCCGCTGATGCTCTTGATTTAAAGACAGCAGCTGAGTGGAGGTACGTATTGTCAAAGGGTTTCCCGTGGACTAGATCCTTTGGACAGAATTGAGTAAAGCCTGACAACTTGTCGCGCGGTCCGGATTACAAAAACGACAGCGCCTCTCAGAATTATTTGAAGCGGAACCCGGAAACGATGGACTCATATGTTATGTTTTCAAATATGCGTCTGATGGACGAGCGATTCAACCCCAACCAAGACCGATAAAGATAGTGTTTTGAGGCCGAGACCAAGTGGCCTTGTTCATGCGACCATTCTTTGGCCCTAGCTCACGGGACCACGAGATGAAAAAACGTCGGTCGATGGCCGGTTGAATCTCTGCCAAGGCCGATCGGGACGGTGTCTTGAAGCCAAGATCCAGTGCTCCATCCGTCCTCAAAGTAATGATTGGAGACGTGCGCCGATGGTGTGAGTTAGTAACGTAGAACTAGTGTCAATAAAACTATGTTGGCTATTATTTGTATGTCTGCTTCATGTTGCATCTTGCTCCCGGTGCTGTCTCGTCGTTTGGACAAGTATCGGGATTATGTATTTTAAAGGACATGGTTCCGTAGGTATATAGAACCGTTATGTCTTTGAGTTCATCGTCGAACGTGGCCAACTGTTTCACCCCTTAATGCCCGCTTATATATGCAGTTTCAACGCTAACCACGTCTAAGTCACGATTGTGGCTCTAAGCTCTTTCCTCTTTTCTCTATTGATTCTACGTGACGATGTTACATGGACCACAGGCAGCTTGTCGATGGTGACGAAAACGTCATGGTAGAAGAGAGGGACTTCTCATATGCTTCTATTTTTCCTAGTATAGCCCTACACCGGCTTTCTGACTGCAGGGCGGGTCATTTTCGTAATGGCATCAATTATCCAGTGGCACAACGCTCTTCACGTGACTTAGATAAATGCAACTGAGGCCAGCGGACAGAACTTTCACCATTTCCATTCTAGGGCTTACATTTTAGGATGAACGATATCTACTACGCATCCTTGATGCCCACATTGTAATCATGCACCGAATTGAACTCCCGAGGAAATTGATACAAGAAATGGCACATTAAAAACGTGTAAATGCTGACGTGGATCCTGGTTCAAGAGTGAACTACTGTAGTCTAGCCAGAAAGCTCGAGACAGTTCTGTCCCTCCGTAGTGAACAAGCTTCGTCCGACAACGCCATTCTTGCATGCGTCGTGACATTCGCATCGGCTCCAGTCTCCACACAGCGACGGCGAATCGCTGTTGCCTATGATCTAATAAGGAAGAAAGCATTTCCTCTGTGAGAGAGCAACCTCCATATATGATGTGGTCAGACCAGTAAATATCCGACAGCAGTCATATGAGACATAATTAGTGCCATTCTCTTCGTTTTACTATTATTACCGTTGTTCCCTTCAATGCTTCTTGTTCAGTAGTACATAGAGTAGAGAGGTAGGCAGAGAAGAGCAATGGCAGAAACAGGCAAGCATGTAAGGTAGGCAATAAGCGGCAAATCATTGTGTCACTCACTCGGAGGCATTGGACAACACATGATCACACTCTATGCCAGTAGACCAAGCTCGAGAGACTCACCTCCTTGAATCGACGGTCAGAATCGTGTCTGTGGTTGGGAGACGGCGGGTCTGCGGCGACCACGGTACACAACCAAGCAAAGATGACCGCCGTCAAAAGCAAGGTCAATTGTCCTGACTTCTTCATCAAGGCCATCAACCAGCTCGAACAACGTAACGAATGTCTCAGGAAACGTTCCAGAACAATTCTGCACCTCCTTGCATGTGTCCGCAATCAAAGACTGCCACGCGACGGTGCCCTACCATTATGCGTTTCAGATGTCAGGAGTCCGCAAGGGTGCAATGCGGGGGCTGCCAACGACGGACGCTGGGGCATCGCACAACCGCGAGCCAAAATGCAATGGAATCGCGCGCTCATTGGATGGTCAAGGATTATTGATAACCCAGTTCTTTAGGTGATTTGACAGATGCGCCGTGACAGAGCCAAATCGGCATTGCAGGCCGTCACCTTGGGCGCTAGGAGAAATGGCTGCAGCCACACAGAGGAGCGTATCCTTTTGAGAACGCCGGTCGGATTCCGTGATCAACGCCGCTCCGTAGGACGGCGAGTGATGGCGGTAGTTGGAGATTACGGTAGAGCATCCCGGCCTCGCCTGTGGCACCCACCACCGGCATTGGCGAATTCCATGATGCGTAGATGGCGACGCAAGGCACGCAGATAACCAGCGGCGCCTCGCTGACCTGTTGTGGTCCTCTTTGCGGTGGAGGGTAGGATGCAGAGTTGGTGATTGGTGGCGGCTGGGTTGTTGGAAGCGGGCATTTTGCCATTGTAAGGAAATGCATGCGTTGGCAGGGCCCTGGTCCGGACCCGAGCGACTGTCACCGGACAGTGCAAAGATGAGATGCGGAAATGAGCCACGACAGGACCGAGGTACGAGAGGTCGGAGCCTTTCCGCTCGTCTTGGTGTAAGCGGGCTATTGTTTGCTGCAGCCTAAGCAGATGTGATAGATGATGTCCAACGGCGGTTCGTATCAGGCACTCAAGGTACCGCCATGCTGGTACCGTACGTTCGTTGCCGTGTTTTCTCATCGTAGTCGACGGCGATGGAGCGAGAGCGACTTTAGAGGCGCGAAAGAGGGGGTTCGAGACACTGCTCCATTGCAACGGCCGTAGCTATGAGGCATAGTTGACTGAATCGACGCCGTCGTTGGAAGTAAGTGCTGGCCGAAACGGCAAGGCTTATACAGTAGTGCCTTGAAAGGTGAAAAAAAAAAAAAAAAAAAAAAAAAAAAAAAAAAAAAAAAAAAAAAAAAAAAAAAAAAAAAAAAAAAAAAAAAAAAAAAAAAAAACAATAACGCCATTGTATGGACCGAGCGTCACTGTCAGAGCTAGATTGGCGGGATGACGGACCCGTCGTTTAACCCGTTCTTAGCGGAGGAAAGCCCTGTGGCGTCGCTGCTGGACCCCTGCGAGAGGTTGAACACAATCACCAACAGCTAAGAACCAACAAGAGCGGGGTTGACGGTTGGTGTGTGTGTGGGGACGTCGACATCGAGTGCGAACAGCGACAAGAGGGCGTGAATATATCCGAACATGACCCCACAATGGAACGAGTCTGAGTCCGGGACCTCGACTCTCGCCGCCAAGATGTACGGCAAGATACGCGAACAGCCAACAGCTGGCGTTGAGTGTCGGTACGGATACACTTGCTTGGCTCGCTTGTCTTGGATCGAGTATGGTCGTCACATTCCCATTGATGGCCGCCACAAGAACAATTCATCAAGTCCCAATCGTACAGTACACCCGAGGGACAGCCCTGCAGTTGATAGAGGATAATTTGACGGTAGCTCAGCTGGAGTTGGACGACCAGCACAGAGGCATCTCGCTGCAATCGCCCGCGGTTGGCGATGGGAACCGTCGACTCGGTTGGCGGACGCGGGTGAGAGGTGACCGGCAGGTGGTGGAATGCAGCAGCGCCACTAGAGAAATGTCAGAGAATGGAAAACGAATTGCAAAGGACTGATCTTGTCTCACCGCGCCGGTCGTGTCGACGCCGATTGGCGATGCTCGTTGACAACCGAGACCACCGTCTAAAAGACATGCATATCTGTGTCCCATCCGAACATGTGGCCCGAAATCCAGGTACTCCGTACCGGTCCCGGGGGTTCGCCCTTCTTCTCATCCGGAGATGTGCACGATATGCTGAACTTTATCCAACTCGATTTGCTGCCACCCACCCCGGTCGCACCCCGGGCGTGCGGCCCTTGCCTTTGACAAGCAAACGTGAACCCGGATTCAGCGTCACATACCTACTGTGCGGCGTCCACACCAATGACCCAAAGCTGTAGAGCTGCAAATGACCGTTCCATCGATTGGTCCGTCGATTGGCAGGTATTCATACGGAGTGTCCAGCCACACGTGGAGGTGCACAGGAGTCATACAGACGCGAGACTTGCTGCCCAGCTTGAAGGCCTACAGAATCAAGTCAATGGCCGTGCAAGAGAGGGAGATTCTCCCAGCAGCCGCAATATCGGTTCCGGGTGGCTGCCGGTGCCCGCCACGGCGCATTGGTTTGACAACGAAATGGTTTGTTGTATGCGGCGGGTGCGTGCTGGACAATGATTGACCCGAGAACAATCCAAGGGAGCCTCGGTCGGTGGTCTCGAAAAAAGTGCACAAAAGACCAACGTGCGCTGACATCAGCCCATAGACTGGTCCCTGGCAGCTCGCTGACTTAGTGCGACTTGGTTGCCTCGTGTTAACACTGAGAGCTGGTGTCGGCAAGGCATGAAGATCATTACCAATGGATGATGAACGAGGTTGAGCACTATCGACATGCCGACGGAAGGAATTGAGGAATACAGGGGAACGTGGGCTATTCGCCGATCGGGTGAGCAAGCGGCGCGGGTGAATGCCTCGATTGAGAAGCGTGTTTGCTGGATGGCCGGAGGACGTTGAGAATTGGGGGCGACAAAGCGACGGACGTGGGAACTTGGAGACGATGCGTAGCAGGAGCCAGGAGAGCACAAGGAGCGGGCCGGGCTGGGACGAAAGCCCCCGTCCTCCGGGGCAAAAAGGCGGTCCCAAGGAGATGTCTGGTTGTAAATGCCTCGGCGGGTATGTCGAATAGTATAAGGTATCAGTTGGTGAGTCTTTTGGCACGTATGGGCCGGGGTGGTCTGCGATCGTGGACGAGACTCGCTCGCGTGGCACAGCAGAGGTAGCTGGGTAGCGAGCGGGCTGCGGCGGATGCAAAAGAAAGCGACGAGAAGCTGAGCAGGATCTCGATCTCCACAATGCTCACAAGCATGAGCGAGTGCGAGACCTGAAAGCAAATGTCAGCAAGCAAACATGCACATTGGGACATAGTGTAGCCATAGGATACACACTACTCCGGACAGAGCAGAGGCTCGCCCGAGGCTCAGTCAGCTGAGGGGCATCAGCATGGCGGCGCAGTGGAGGCCGCAGGCTCAGAGTGTCTTTGAGGGCGGCCGAGTTGTATTCCAGAAGCGTACGAGTATGTCTGTCTGGGTGATGGAGATGTGGACTTGGGTGCGTGGAACGGCTGGGATGGTGAGGTGAAGCGCAAGCCCCGGTTCCAATTTCGTTGCAGCAGCAAGGACCCAAGTTCCAACAGAGGCAGGTCCCCTCCCCCCGGCCGTTGCAGATGCTGAGTCTGTCACTTTCCTCTGCTGCGTACGGAGGAGTACTACGCAGTAACATACGTGGGTACGTAGGTAACTTGACCTGCATCGTGCTGCCCGCCGCTGGCCGCACCGTCGAGCCTCGACAGATTTCTAGGTTTATTAAAGCTGTCACTGGAGGTTAACGTACCCGCCAAAGCCTCGAGAACCTCACAACCTATACTACGTAGGCGTACTTAGGGGCGTCAGTCGGGCGTTCGTAGCTTCAGCACTAGGATAGCGCGGAAAGAGGGTGTAGGCATGGCCCCTGGCGCCAATCGTCGGCCGCTAGGTATGGATGCACCCGTCGTTTAGCGGGCCCCAAGGCGCGATTACGTCCCCGCAAACTTCCAGGTTTGAAGAGATGTTGTTGATTCCGCTGTCCATGCTTTTGCTCCCCGAGAAAACAAAGCTTTGCAGTCATGTTGCGTAGGGATACTTCGTACTCATGGTGCAAGTACGCAGTAAAATGCAAGGTAAATATAGACGTGTGGCGATTCCGGAACTCGCTCCTGCCGGTCCAGGTCCAGGGGCTCCAGGACGAGGTGGTCCCCTTCCTGGGCCGTTGGAGTCGACTGCGATTCGGTACAAATACAGAGGCTGTCGGCGAGATATCGCAGCGTCGGGGGAATGTTCAAAGTCGACGAGTTTGCGACTGGCGGTTGGGACCAGGGCTTCCTATTTCACTCGTCGAGTCTTGACCCTCGCGGGTTTAAGGCGTGCATGGTCGGGTTGCATTGTCCAAGGCTCCCCGGTACACCCAAGTCCCAAGTTGCAGTTCCGAAGAGGCGTCTAACGCCACCTGATTCGTTGACTCCGTCCACTCTGCTCGACTGGGCGCAGGAGCATCGCATGCGCAGTTCTGCACGCCAATGGAGCCCTTGCCTTTGCACTGTACTCGTACGTACTCTGTGGTCGGAAAGGAGGACTGCTGCTGCGTGAGCCTGGCGAGAGAGATGCTGGGTGTGTTGCACAACGCTCGTTGCGATGCATGCGATGGCTGCAATGCATTATTATGAGAAAAGTGCACCAAGGACCGAGGACCTGTTACCTCACTTCAGGCAGGCACCAATTTGCAGTTACCTGAGGTGTCTGTACGGATGGAGTATGTACAGTATGGAGTAGTCATCAGTGAGGTACGTACGGATACGTACTCTGGGTTGGGCCTTCCCCACACACCTCAATCCAAAATTGGATGTTCCTTCCACCTCGAGTCCCTCCAGCTTCTCCTCCCTCTTCGTGATCCAATCAGACCCGTTCGTCCAATGAACTGCCCGTCTGATGCTTCGGGAAACGGTACGTACCCTCTCCCCTCGACTGCCTCCAGCCTACAGGTAGGTATTCTCCTCCATACTCCGTAAGGTACTCCTCAGCCCAACTTCATCCGAGTTGCATTCCAAGCTCCGTTCCCATGCACCCGTCGTGCCGTCTCTCTTTTTCCCAACTGGACGGAGGCCGAGTGCGATACAGCACCCTCACGAATCCCCTCGACCAACCATTCACCGGCCAGAGTCTCGACAGTCGACAGCCACCCCCCAGCCGTCCGCCAATGTCGCCTCCTGTCTTGCGGCTTGTCCTGGTCGAACCCATGATCCCGGTCCTTGTCCTGGTTGCTGGACTGGCACCGCATCCTCGTTCAACTCTTGGCCCTGGCTCGCCAGAGCTGGGGTCCCCCCTAAGCCCATCCGTTTCCGCGCCGCCTACCAGACCACCCTATCGCGCTACCTTTCTGTGCCTGCTCGCTCAAATCTTCCAAACGAATGCCTCCCTTCTATCCGTTGGTCTCTCGCCCTTTTACAGCCAAAATCTGCGTACGATACCCATACTCTGTGCTCTGATGGATAGTACTGATCACTTCCTCACAGTGACCAAAAAAACGTCTCGAATCCTTTTCGGCCATTATCCAGTCTGGTACGGAGTATTCGCTTACCACTCGCTCGCCCTTCGCGTCCAACAAGTCGCAAGGCCCCAAAATTCTCTCCCCCATCCATCACATTGTCCGACGTGGGGCCTGATCCCGGTCTCTCCTCGACAGGACAAGACAAGCCAACACTGCACCTGGTGTTTTGCGGATGCCGCGTGCTGATGCTGGTCGGCCCTGATCCTCGCTCGCCTTTTGCTCTTTTCCTCTCCCTCTCCTCTCTCTTCCTTCTTCGCCTCTCCTCCTGAGCCAGAAACCATCGTACCTTTGCAGCGGTGCACTTCAACAGACGGACAGAGCGGACAGGGAACCAAGACCCATCCTAGCAGTGTGCAGATACTGTGCAGTCTCTCGTCTCCGTCCTCCACTCCTTCTCTGGCACCGCAAAATCGATTCCTGCAGCCGCGGATTGGCCCTGTTGACTTGTCCGCAGCTTCATATACATACCTGCCAACAACCCCCCGCCGCCCACCGTCGTCTTGCCCTCTTCTTCCCTTCACCATACCTGTGCCTCGCTCTGGTCGCACTCCCAACACCGCACACCCTCCCACGCCCACGCCCATCCGACACTGGCCTGATCCGACCGCCAACGTCTACTCACACATCAACATTCATCAGTCTTGCATGCCAAACGACAACATAGTCGACGCCATTCTGTCTCGAACCTCAATTGTCCCGCTGATCGTTCCTCTCGGGTTCTGGGTGCTCCCATCAGACTAGATTTCGCTGGTGCCAACTTGGACAAGGATCTCCCCGGCTCGACTCTCGTCATCTCTATTCACGCCGACACACCTAGCCGCTCCGATCCATCGAGCAACAGCCCGCACTTGTTTGTCGCTGATAACGATTAGACCGTGTCTCAACCGCGCGCCTTCGACCAGTGGTCTGGACAGCGAAAAAGGAAAGGGAACGAGGTGTCTCTGTTCTGTTACGAGCCCTGTGTAGAGACGTTTGCCCACGTTCGTCCGCCAAGCAGCGAAGCGCCATTGGGCAAGACAGCGGACAAAAGAGCCCCTCTCTGCTACCACCCGTCTCTCGGTTCATCTCCAGCATCCAGCACCTCTCATCCTTTTGTTTCTTCGCGAGAGAGCTTTCAATGGGCGTGGTCTGACTTGCACCATCCGACGCCGTTTTTTCTCCTTCTCTCTCAAAATCTTCAATCAACTCATAATCGGGCCAGCTGACACGCGCCGATCGTACTGAGCGCATCCGGAGCTGAACGCCTCGCTCTCTCTCCAGCGCTTGACTTGGCCAAGGGCTGAGTACGGATCTGAGACTTCTCCACCTACAGTGAGTTCGCTCCGGCCGCCACACCCCCGAGCCGAGAACGTGGAAGGGTGCCCTCGCGCCGGAACGAGCATTGATGCTAATAAGGGCAGCTCACTCTCAGGAGTAATTACACAAATCGTCTTGGCCGTTCCGCCACTCTTCGTCTTCACATAGCGGAATCTACAGTCTATCAAGCAGTTGAAGCACCCAGCATGGCTCAAAGGCATAACTCATGGGCGCCTTCGCCCTCGTCGTATGGCCCGCCACGGCCAGCCATGGACGGACATTACGCCTACGAACCCGAGCCAATGCGACTGCCACCTCCAATGCACTCAAACTCGCAACCGAGGCCCGTCGCACAGCAGCAGCCCGAATATCACCAAAACGACTACCATCAAGCCCCCTACTACCGCAGTGATTATCAGCATCAGCGCGAGTACCACCAGCCCCCCTCGCCCAGCTACCATCAGCCGCCGCAGTACCAACACTACCAACAGCCACCGCCTCAACCGACACAGCTTACCGATCCGTACAGAGCAGCTCCCATGCCCCGCTATCCCCAGGAGTCGCCACGCGAATCACCGACATTGTCCGCGACTAAGAGTGAGCCATATGACGAGTACCAGGCGGCAAGAGAAGCACATTATCTCAAGCGTAACCAGCCTCCACAGATGCCGCACATGTCGCAGGGTGCCCCGCGGGTGTTGAACGACAATTACCAGGGCGGAGGAAAGGTCGCCATTCCATTCACGCCGCCCAGCCTGAGGATTCCCGCAGTGCGGTCTGGGTCCACGATCCCGACGGCCGGAGCACCGTGGAGTGCCACGAGCCAGCATGAAAGAGTCAAGATTGAGGATCTTTTGAGCGGTGGCAGCGACGATCGGAGGATGCTCCAGCGTGTTCCGGAACCAGAAGTCAAGGTGGTGCGAAACGAGTACGAAATCTTTTTCCGCCAACAACCCATGGCGGCCAGATGCTGCGGCTACGGCGAAAGAGACAGAAGAGTCATTGATCCGCCGCCCATTGTTCAGCTGCGGATAAACAACCCCGATCTCACGCCTGACGAGCTGTACAGCAAGATTCATCACCCTGCCTACGTTGTGCACTGCAGTATCTGGAACGTGGACGGAGAAACCGACGAAACCAACATGCCCAACGATGGGATGCGACCAGGCAAGCGGATCATGGGCTCGCTGGTATCATCGCCATTTGTGGGCCAAGACGAAAACGGCAACGAAGGCTGTTTCTTCTGTTTCCCCGACATGTCAGTCCGCACACCGGGCAGCTTCCGTCTCAAATTTGTGTTGGTTGTCGTCGATCCGACGCACATGGCAAGGAAAGCTCCCATCCGGTCAACCATCATGAGCGACATATTTGTTGTCTACAGCGCAAAGGATTTCCCGGGCATGCAGGCCAGCACACCTCTCACCAAGCGTCTCAAAGAGCAAGGATGTCTTATTTCCATCAAAAAGGGCAACGAAAAGTCTGGTGGGAAGAACGCTCGCCGGCAAGTAGACAGCGACGACGACGAAGACGAGGAAGACAACGGTGGAGGTGGCGGCGGCGGAGGAGGAACCTCAACGACCAGGCGCAAAAAGACAAGAAAGCAGCGGTGAACGACAAAAGGAAAAAACAACCCCCCCCCCCCCCCACCGACTTGACACGGGATGGCAGCATAATGTAACACGGCGTTCGTTGGAGATTGGTAAATCGGCGAATAGACGGCGGCGATGGTGTTTCAATTGGGAGTTTTCGTCGGGTTTGGGGCCGTTCTTGACGATAGAGGCGTACAAGAACGAGTGTGCAATACTTGTTATACGTCGAAACCGTCTTTCCAAGGCCAGGCGGTAATTTATCATCACGGCCTAGCAAAGCGAGGAATACCCGCTACGAAGGTCGCTTTTTATTTTATTTTATGTGTCTATCCCATTTGTTGCATATTTGTTGCTTTACTTTCTTCTCGATTCACTCATCATTTCTTCGTATCTATATATACCCTTTGTGGAAATTTTATGGGTTATGATCATGGAGAGACGCGAATTTGATATTGGGTTCGACTCTCGAGGCGGTTGCATCGTTGGCGGGAAAGACAGTCTTGTGCTCTTTTCCTACACGGGGACAAAGTACAGGCTTTTTTACTGTGACCTCCCTAGGTACTAGATGGATACAAAATTCAAAGTCGGGGCGCCGCCTTGTCAAACTCATTTCACATTGTTCAGCTACCAGTGATGCTGCGCTCAGCCGACACACGTCGGAGCGCACTTCCATTCCGACATGATCTGACTGCACGCCGCGAGCAAGGGAGACACTCCCGTTAGGGGAACTTGTCGCAACGCATGGTCCCATTGCCACGACTTTGGCGTCGATGGCGCCGACGATCCCCATCCGACAGCCGGGCCATCGTTGCAGGCGTTGCATTCCTCGGCTGAGCAGCGTGATCGTCTGAGGTTACACGGCCCGACACAGGGTGAAGGGCGAGCCGGGAAACACGTAGGGAGCAAAAAAATGGGTGAGGCCATCCGAGGCATGCGATTTGTCTCTCCAGGGACTCGTTCACCTCTACCGTGTGGCATGCTCTCCGTCCTCGGGCCTTGGAGAAATCTTTCTCAGCATCCTCAGGGCCCGAGGGGTTCGTCTTCCTCTTCGTGCCGTCCACGATACTCCCTGGCAAAGCCCTGACGATCTGCCAACTGTGCGAGTCAGGGTTCATGGGTCCTTTGTTTTCCCCCTCCCCTCGTCTCCAATTGTCCTGGTTTGTGGGTTGTGGGCCATTGAACCATTTCACCAATGCAAGGTACGCATACACAGCAATTGGCCCGCGATTCGAGCATCGCGGTAGCCGCCGCCCATTATCCAAATAAAGTTTCGGGAGGGGACGGGCGAAACGGGTGACGGGTGGACGGGTGACGGGGTCACGGATGCTTACCCAGACGAACCAACCGGCCCACGGTCCACCGAACGGGTACGCAGTATGGGCGCGCAATCTCCTACATTTTCTGCGAAATTTACGGGATACCTAGGTACTCCAGGCGGGAACGATTTCCCGTTCGGCGGGCTCCAGTGGCGCGCGGGCACATGGGCATTGAGGTAGGCACACGCGGGTCTTGGTCCGGGCTTTTGTCTTCCTCGTCTTGCTCTTCGTCTTCGTCTTCTTGGACCACCAGTCCAACAGGTAGGTAGGGAGTACGGAGTACGGGTGTGAGGATACTTTAGGGGACTGAGACATCCATAGACTTTGTCTTTGGATCGTAGGGGAAAAAAAAAGAAAAAAATGTGTGGCGCTGTGGTTGCTCCAAAACCTCGCGTGGCTTAGAGTCATTGACATCATTGATTTTTCTTGTATCCCCGAACTCAGCCAATCGACCCATGTTGTCTCAATGCAGAACATGTCCTCTTGGACGCGTTTCCTAACGCGACAAGTCTGTCTCCCTTGGCTGAGTGACATGCCAATTGGGACACCATCCTAGAGTTGAGGTGAAGGTATCTCGTGATTTCGTGTTTGCGTTACACAGCGTTCGTGACCTACCATCTCACTTAACCCAGTACTTCTCAGTCACATACCTCGCCCTCACTCACTCACACCCACGCACTCACTCACATTCACAATGGCACCCGGCCCGCGCGTGATATACTGGTTCCGGACCGACCTCCGGCTCCACGACTCGCCCGCCCTTGCGGCCGCGCTGGCGCTCGAGCCGGTCGCCCTGTGGCCCATCTTCACCTGGGATCCGCACTATGTGTACCGCGCCCGAGGCGGCCTGAACCGGTGGCAGTTTCTGTTTGTTTTCCTCCACGCCCCCCGTGGAGAAGTAAAATGACTAACACAAACCGTTGTGCGCAGATTGGACTGCCAGAATGACCTATCAGAGAGCATCACCAAGCTGAACCCAAAGTCCAAGCTCTTTGTGCTTCGCGAGGGCCCGCAGACGCTGTTCCCCAAGCTCTTCAAGGCGTGGAAGGTGACGCACCTCGTCTTTGAAAAGGACACGGACGCGTACGGCCGCGAGCGGGACGAGGTGGTCATCAAAGCCGCCCAGGATGCCGGGGTGGAGGTGATCATCAAGAGCGGGCGGACGCTATGGGACAGCGACGCTGTGGTCGAGAAGCACGGCGGCAAGCCGACCATGTCCATGTCGCAGCTGCAGGCGGCCGGGGCCAAGGTCGGGCCCATTGCGAAGCCCCTGGCCGCGCCGGAGTCGCTGCCGGATCCGGGTGAGATGCCGGTTGACTTTGAGCAGACGCCGCCCGAGACGAAGCCCGACTTCAACGCGGAGAACCGGACCGAGGGCGGGGACGCGGCGTACAAGAAGATTGCGGGGCCCAAGGGGGACTTTGCGATTGAGACGATGGAGGAGCTTGGGTTCCCGTCGGCGACGACGCCTCACAAGGGCGGAGAGACGAGGGCGTTGGCGATGCTCGAGGAGATTCTGGCCGACAAAAAGTATACAGCCACCTTCGAGAAGCCAAAGACGAGCCCCGCGGCGTTCGAGCCTCAGTCAACGACCTTTCTATCGCCGTTTTTGCACTTCGGGGCCCTGTCGGTGCGCGAGTTCTACTGGAGGGTGCAGGACGTCGTGACAAAGTACGGCAAGGGTGCTTCCAAGGTGCCGGAGAGCTTGCTGGGCCAGCTGCTCTTCCGCGACATGTATTTTGCGGCACACGCCGCACTGGGCTACCAATTCACGCAGACCGCCAATAACCCCTACTGTCGCTTCATCCCGTGGCATTTACCATCCAAGGTCGATCACGAGACGGGCCTCGTGACGGGCGAGTACCACGTCGACTCGGCAGAGGCGGACGAGTGGTTCCGGCGGTGGAAGTACGGCGTGACAGGGTTCCCGTGGATCGACGCCCTGATGCGACAGCTTCGCGAGGAGGGGTGGATTCACCACCTGGGGCGCCACTCGGTCGCCTGTTTCCTGACGAGGGGCGGTTGCTACATTGACTGGGAGCGCGGCTGCGAAGTGTTCGAGGAGTGGCTGCTCGACCACGAGCCCGCGTGCAACGCCGGCAACTGGCAATGGCTGAGCTGCTCGGCCTTCTTCTCGCAGTACTTTCGGTGCTACAGCCCCGTGTCGTTTGGACAAAAGTGGGACAAGCAGGGCGCCTTTGTGCGGCGATGGGTGCCGGAGCTCAAGGACCTGGACGCCAAGTACATTTACGAGCCGTGGAAAGCACCGCTGCCGGACCAGAAAAAGGCCGGGGTCAGAGTGACGGGTCGCGGAGAGAAACAGGAAAAGGGCGTGTACCCGAAGCCAATGTTCGACTTCAACGAGAGGAGGACGGCGTGTCTGGCGGCGATGAAGCAGGCGTACGGAGTCGGTCTCCACGGGAACGACGAGAAGGTGCGGGACGGCAACTGGCGCGAGCTCTTTGCGGGCCAGGACACGGAGATGATGGACGAGTTTGAGAGCGACGACGGCGAGCACGCTGACCACGGCGAGGACCACAAGACGGCGCGACCCAAGGGAGATGAGGTTACACCGGCGAAACGCGCTGCCGACGAAGGTAGCGCCGAACAGCACGCCGACAAGAAGAAGAAAAAGTCGTAGCTCTGTCGTAAGTCTGGCCAGCAATGGAGTCAGTCAGGATGTGTGCCTCAGCTGCTTAGACGGTGTCATTAGTAAATGAGAAAGATTGTATCTTTTTACGACTGCATCCCATCACAAAGCGACTGGGATTCGATCAAGAGCCCAAATACAATTTGCAACGCTGTCATACGTGTCGTTGAATGTGGCTGAATGCTTCCCGGGCAAGTCAAAGTCAGTAATACGCCGCTGCGTAAAACACGCTGGAGTGACGTCGCACCCCGGTCCTTGGCTTGGCGCACGGCCCCAGACAGCGGGGTCGAGCAGCCCGATCTGGAAATCGCTACCAATCACCAGCCACGGTTTGTGGAGGCAGCCGACTTCAAAGCAGGAGCACCAATTGCAGCTTCCCGTTGCTTCCTCCACCCTGGATGGTCATACCTTCCCGATTAGTGTCACGATGAGGCTGAACCACAAGGACCTCTCCTCACCACGTCCGACTGCCTGCGTGGCACCTGGATATTGACTCAGACGATACAAAACTATCGTCTACCTTTCATCTATAAGAACCTACAGTCCCTTCGGTTGTTAAATCGATACATTCGACTCACCACCCAGACCACCATCCACTCAACTCACCGTACTACACACCATACAACGGTCTTTCACTCAACTCCACCACCTGACACGTAGCGCCACCACACAAGATGACCAACACAAGCGATCTCGAGACCGTCGAGGTCATGCCCGAGATTCGTGCCCAGGAGCAGCCCATTGCCAGCAGCCGCAGGGTGACAGTGCGCCTGGGAGACGACGGCCCCAACTCGACACGATCAGACATCCGCATCTCCCACGGCAGCAAACAAGACGCCCTCTCTATCCAGCTCAACCGCACAATCCGCGTCCCCGACAACAGGGACACCAACAGCCTTCCCCCTGGTCTCGGAACCTTCCCTCTGTTCAAGGTCCACGACTATGCACACAATATGCCTCCGGACATGGCCAAGAAGGGCGGCATCTTCTTCCCAATGTACCAGCGCGAGGCCATGTGGGTCAACTTCTCGGCCCAGGCCCCTTTCGCTATCAAGATCTACGTTGGCGGTGTCAATGCGGTTTCCGGCCTGCCCATGACGGAGAACGAAAAGACGCTCGAGAAGCGCGTGCGGATGCTCAACAGCGGCAAGCAGATCCAGGACTACATGGTGGTACCTGACCAGAACTGGCTGGACGGCATCGTATCAGAGGACGGCAAGATCCGCCAATTCGTCGCGCAGCCCAAGGGATCGGGCTTCTCGGTCGAGGCCCAGGTCACCGGGGAGGAGAACATTGGAGGCATCCAGATTGAAGTGATTCCCATCAAGAAGAATCTCCCAACTGAGTTTGACGTCCGCTACGAGAACAAGGAGCACAAGGTCGTCACCCGGACTTTCAGCGTTGCGGAAAAGGGTCTCAATGGTGAGAGCACCTGGCTGGACGTCAAGAAGCTCATCCGCGACGAGTTTGACATTGCTGTCGATCAACAGCGTCTCAGCGACCACGGCAATCGCTCAGGCTTTGACAAGTACCGCATCGACTTTTCCGATAACACCAAGCTTGGAGACACCTACTTCCCACCAAATTTTTCGACCGTCAGCGTCGTGCATGATACGCCAATGCGAGGCCGGATGCGCATGATGGGGGGGCTCAAGTCCATGGCGGCTCCTGGCGGCGGTCCCGAGATGATGATGTGCGCAGCTTCCGTCTCCAGTCCCATGGCGGCACCACCTCCGGCAGTCGAGGAGATGGGACTTGCGGCTGGTGGTCTCATCACCCAAACGATCGAGGAAGATAAGTATCCAGCCGACGTCTGGGATGTCGAGGCCTCGGTGATGTTGAACCTTCAGATCCTGAGCATCGAGTCCTTCTGTACCGTGACTGGACAGCCGGCTCCCGACACCCCAGTCAACGCCCAGTCATACGCCAACCACGGCTATCCATTTTTTGAGATTTGGGAAGAGGAGAAGACGGGCATCAAGGGGGACTTTTCCGAGGTGAAGAGCGTGGCGCAGATCGAGGCCGAGCGAGCCGCAGCGGCCGGTGAGGAGTACAAGGAGGAAGAGAGCGTGCCGGTGAGGATTGTGCAGCTGGGCCCCTTCCGAAGCACATTCCGGCCTGTGGAGGTGCTAAACAAGGAGCTCGAAGGGCTACGCTTGGAGTAATGATTGTATGACATGTTAATGATGCACAAAAGGACGCATTGCACAGGATAGTGGGTTTTCGGCAGCAAGTAATGTTTCGCACCCTATATCAAGTCACAAGCTAGATTATGATCGTGAGTAGGACTGAAAATCATACTGCAATAGTTTCTGCACCACTACGTTACCCAGATGAAAGAGAGCTACTTTACTTGCATGCAGTCAAAATGCCGGGCAAAAGTGGGGCCGATCGGAGCTGCCCAAGCTTTCCGCCAGCGCGGAGCCCTCCGGCTGGAGTGACAGTATCTCACGGAGTCGTCCGTCTTATGAGTTCAACAGCAGAACGGTGACATTGATCCGTTCATTCCGGACAGTAGTTTTTTCCTCACAAAACTTCGGCAGTCCCACACACCATCTCCAAATTCAACCCGTCATTCAAGATTTTTGGAGTTGTATACCTGTTCCCCGCGTTCGAGTCGCATCTCCCGGGACCTCGGCGGACCCACATCTTGCCGAATAACACCACATCCAACGACAGACGTATAAGTCGCGGCCCCCCCTGGTAACCCCCCAAAATGCATCTCCCACTCTGTCAAGAAATAGTTTTGGTAGTACGATCGCAGAGAAAGAGACACACGCGCAGAGAGAAACAACAATGCCATTCCAATCCCGAGCCCAAGCCCTCGTCAACGCGCAAACCGGCGCCGACGCCCGCCTATCCCGGCACACCACCACCACCTCTTCTTCCACCTCCTCGCCCGCCGTCCCCAACATCGAAGCCCTCATAGCCCACGTAGAACAGCACGGCTACGTAATCATCCCTTCCGCCTTCTCCGCTGCGGAAGCAGACGAAGCCCACGCCGAGATCGTGCGCCTGACATCCTCGCCCGAGACAGCCGGGCCAGCGGGAGGGTTCTCCGCCCATGCCAATGACAAGGACAGCATCCCGATCACCAGCGCAAGCGGCACCACCACCACCACCACCACCACCACCACCACCACAGGCGGCAGAAACAGCTTCGAAGGCTTCAAAACCCACCGCATCTACGCCCTCCTCAACAAGTCCCCCGTCTTCCACAAGTTCCCCACCCACCCGGCCCTCCTCGCGCTCAACAACCACTTCCTCGACCCGGGCTTCCTCCTCAACGCTTTTCACAGCGTCTACATCCAGCCCGGCGAGGCCCCGCAGGCGCTTCACCACGACGACGGCTACGTCGGGGTGCCGAGGCCCCATCGGCCATTTGGGACGGTAATGCCTCTCCCTCTGTAACCAACATCACCGTCTCCTCATCCATGGCTAACACCCCCCCCCCCCCAACAGGGCGTTATGGTCGCCCTCGACGACTTCACCCCCACAAACGGCGCGACCGTCATCATCCCAGGCTCCCACACATGGGGCCCCGACACCGACACCGCCCACCTCCCCCAGCGCAAAGACGCCATCCCCGTCGTCATGGACAAGGGCAGCGCCGTCTTCTTCCTCGGCACCCTCTGGCACGGCGGCGGGGAAAATACCTCGCCCGACCCCCGGAGGGCGCTGACGATCCAGTACTGCCAGCCCTGGATGCGGCCCCTCGAGAACCAGATCCTCGCCGTCGAGTGGGACAAGCTGGCCGGAATGCCGAGGCGGCTGGTGGACTTGCTCGGGTACGAGCCTGGAGCCCCGTTTGTCGGGTACGCGGATGGGGTTCACCCGTGGAAGGTTGTCCAGAGGAGGCTGAGGGAGCAGGAGAAAAGTGTAGACAGGCAGGTCAAGTTGTAAATGGCTTCCGACCCTGTGTGGTCTCGTGCAGTATCACTGAGCAAATGAGTCGCGTATTGACTACATATTGTATTGACGTGACCATGACAGGTCGTCGTATCCATCCCTGCACCAACGTGAAACCACCACTAGAAAGTATCTACGAGAAGAGTATCAACAGTCGCACCATGCGAAGATTACAGTATATAGAGCATCTCGTCAGATGCCAGTGGTTGCCATCGTATATGACAATGTATGCCGCCGAGTCAGCGGATGCGCCATGCCCAAATTCCGGCTGCTGCCAATAATCACGAAACCGCCATCCGATGCCGTCCCTTGGGACCCGGCTCTTTTTTTCTTCTGCCCAAAATCCGGCCGTGAATAGAACTAAGACTAAATACTAAGTGTAATGTGAAGACCGACAAGGTCGGATGCCGGATGCGGCATTAGAAGGAGAAATAAATGCGAGAGAATGTCGAGGGTATCATGGCGCTTGCTGAAAATCAAATAACTCAAAACATGACTCGTTACGATCAGTGCAGTCTCTCGACCGCTTTACAACATGTTGCAAAGCAGAGCCAGAGTCACGGTCGTCGCCGCCAGAGCCCAGGAGGGCACCGACAGCCCTGCCGTGCTGACCGCGGCCAGAAGCGTGTCGTTGACGTATTCTGGTCCGCATATGGTATTGACCTGCGACGCGGCGTCCTCGTAGGTTGACGAGATGGCGAGTTTGCGGTTTGTGGTGAAGGTCTGGTAAATCTCCATGGTCTGTCGGAGACACGTGCCGCAGGTGGGGTTTGCACTGGCAGGCAAAGTCATGTTGAGTGGGAGGTAGTAAAAGTAGACGTTGGACGGCGTGGTGAGGTTGGTGACGGCGTTGGCGAAGCAGTACATGGACGTGTCGGGGTCGGTAAGGCAGGTAGCCTTGTACAGCATCTCATACGATTTCAAGCCGAGATAGGCCTGCATGACGATTGGGTTGCCGGCCTGGTAGTCGGAGCCGCAGTTGGCGTCCAACGTTAGGTTACCGGCCACACCGGTAAGGAACTCTGTGCAGTACTCGACGTCAGCGCCGCAGGTGGCGTCGAGTACCCTCACAATACTCAGAAGCTTCTTTTCAGCCTCAAAGAAGGATCTCGAGCCCTGGACGAGTCAGCTCTTGTACAACACCGACGGACAACAACAAACATACCTGGAGCAGCAATGACAACGGGTAGCACTTTTTAAAGTTCTGGTTGGTAAGGAGCGAGTTGATGAAGCGGGGACAGGACGCGCCGTCGTTGCTGGTAAAGTTAAAGGCGAGACTGGTGTCGAAAGGCGACGGCAGGGGCGAGGCAGAGTCCACAGTCGCAGCGGGCACCGTGACGGAAACGGTCAGCGTAGTCGAGGCGGCAGTAGCTGACGCCTTGTCGGCTGTGCTGGGCGTCAACGTGATGCCCTCGTCGTCTCGCTTCTTCAGTTCGTCGTGCCCGGGGGGAACCATGGTCCACCGACCCTTGATCATCGTAGGCGTGCGGTCGTCAATGACGAGGGCGTCCATGGGAGGAAGCACTGCGGGGGCAGTGATCTGAGCGGGAAGAACCTCCAGCACGGGTTCGGAGCCGGCCAACACCACCGAGGCAATGGTGAGGCATAGGAGAAGCCATAGTGACCGTGGCCGGGTCATGGATGACAACGGCATGATGATCATCATGGGAAAACTGCGACACGCAGGTTGGCAAGACCAAACATAATCTGGTCCCTCTTGCAGTGGTTCTGGCGAGTCGAGAAGAGCAGTCCTCGACGACGGAGTTTTGATGGGGTAGGAAAAGGCAATTATTGCTGGTGTTTGCCGAGAGAACCCCACGTTGGATCGGCGCCGAATGTCTCTAGCCGGTGATCGACCAGATCACGCACGCGATGGTGGATATATTTTATAGCACCAAGGAAAAACAAGATCACCACTCCACTGGCTGCACGGGTGGAACACTTTTGCGGTCGGATTTGTGGTGCTGCAGATTCGACTACCAATGAAGGCGACGGTGAGGATGGGCGGTTAAACGAATGGAATCGGTCCTAATGGCCGAAAAGTTGACGAGTCGACGATGCTACAGTCGACGACAAGACTTTGAGAGATTGTTCGCGTCCACAATTGGGGTAATTCGGGGCGGTTGAGGTCGAGTCGAACGAGGTCCAGTTGCTTCCAAGCTTGCAGTTTCTGTCGGTCGCCAGTAGGTGGGCTGTAGCACTCGATAGGGGGGTTTAGAAGTTGCCCGCCGTGGTCGAGTCGTCGAGACGATCAGCTCTGTCGGATCTGATCTGGCGAAGGGGCAAGACGAGGCAAGGTGAGGCTCTTGGAAGGCGGCGACGATCCCTGGTTCTGGCTGGGGGGAGGACGAGGTTAAGAAGGAGCAACGAGTGGACGAGCGCGGGCGAAGATGGGACGGGATGGATGGTCGATTTGGGGGGGAAGCTGGCAGCAATATTGGCTTGGCTTGGCTCGCTCGCGTGGTGGGAGGCGCGCACACTTGGTCGGCCGGACAGGGTAGCAGGGGTCCAGGGGAAGTTGGATGGCGACGGTGCAAGTGAAGTGGGCTTGAACTTGCGGCTTTGGGGGCCCAAAACGTAGTCGCGTAAAAATCCTGGGTACCTATCTTGGGTAGTGTAGGTAGCGTAGGTAGGAAGTACTTTGGTTTTGTATGGCAGCAAAACAAAAGACGACCTACTGCATTATTCACGGGCAGCTCCTGTTCGGGTCCAGGTGGATTGTGAACGGGCTTCTTCAGTGGAGCGTGTGCGATGCATGGACGGCAGCTGGGGGGTCCAGGTCGGGCTGGGTCGTATTCTCGCAGCAGCGACAGGATGGAGTCATGGGCGACGGTTGAGCCTGGAGGAGGAGGTGCATGTTAGCTCCGCCGAGGGAGACGGAGACCTGGTTCTGCCCTGAGAATTTGGTGAGTGGGCACTTGGACTGGTTCGTGGACGGCGGCGTGGCCCCATGGGCCATGGGTCCACAGTCCAGCAGAACTTCAAAGAAGGAACCGGCCACCCTTGGCAGGGACAGGGGAAGGAGGCAGGGGTAACTCCGGCCGGGAAGGGGAAGGTCCAAGGAGGAGATTTGGCGTCAAGCCACTCAGCCAGCGAGAGCCAATATTTGCGCCTGCCGCCCTCCTGGCCAGTCCAATGGAACCGTCACCTGGGTCACCACCACCAGAAGGCGCGCACTTGCACCTGTGCCTGCCTGCACTTTCGATCCTCTGCACCTGCCTTTGCACCTGCCTTTGCACTTTATCCGTCCCGCAACCACAACAGCAACTGCCAACCACAACAGACCTGCATCTGCGCCTGCACCCCGCTTGTCTGTTGAGGTCGGGTGCTCACGAGAGCACGGGTCGCTAGGGTTGCACGCAGTACGTACCTCGTCAATTCACGGAAGCTTGAGTCCTGGGCCACTGGACTGACAGGTTTCGCTTCCTTGGGCTTTGCGGGTTGACATCGCAACGTCGGCTTTGGGATCCGCTAAGAAAAGCAACTCTTCAATTTCCATGTGCCGGGCGGGAGTCCGGGATACCTCGAAAGTACCCGTAGTGTATGGATCAAGAGTGGACTGAGTACGGAGCATTGGAGTGAGCTTGAATAAACACAAGTCTGATAGTTCATCGCATATAGGCAGGTAGGGAGATAGCATGAACAAAGGGAAAACAACCTTATCATCTCGCAATCTCAAGCGTCGACCAACCGGACTGCCCCGGGAGGGTGTCTTGTGTCGCATCGGCCCAGGCATAGACCGTACTTTGTCGTGAACTATCCGTACGTTTCTCTGGTAGCGTTGCAGCGATTATGTACGGGATGCCTCAATGGATAAGACGGAACGAGGTCGTTTTGATGTGAACGAGGTTTCCTCCCACACTGCGTATTTACACACACCGTGGTGACCACTGACAGTAAGGGTAAGCGTTTGAATGGGCGGCTGACTGAACATGCCAGCGAGTGGTCTAGAACGGCGGGCATGGCAGGGTAGCAACGAGGGATGAGCAGCTACGGCCATCGATTGGCACCGGCTTGGAACGGGCAGCACGTCAGACTGGATTATTGTCTCTGATGCGAGGCCGGATCTGTGGTTCACTAAGTGTGTGTGTGTCCGCACTTTGAGCCAAGGCAGACGGGAGATGACCACCTCAGTGTCCCTATTGGGAATCCCCTCCCCTGCAAGTGTTGACTTGCTATGTGCGTCTCTTGGGGGTCTGACTTTTGAGGTCCCTCGTCTGGGCTTGGTGCGTGTGCGGCGTGCGGTGTGCAGCGTGCGCATTGCGTTCCAATGTCCGGCTCGCGGTGCTGCGCCTGGAGTTGTGGGGGCCATACGTTCGTCTGTCTTCAGGTGAGAGCCCACATGGTTGATCTTCTCTCTCACCTGGCACAAACTCTTTCGACAAGCATTTGCGTTTCTATTTCCAGTCTGTCGTCACTCGCCAACAGCATGCGGACTCGCAGAGTCGCAGACGCTCTTGTACCGACAACACTCCAGAGAGGACCCCAGAAAGAGAGCAACATACCCCTCGCGGCGGGACGGGCGAATGACGGAATGCAAACGAGGGCCCACCGCCTGGCATTATCCAGATGAACATGCATGCACATCCATCTCGTGTGCATCGCCAAGGAGAGGGATTTTGTGAAATGTTGGCAGGTGCAATTAATTGACCTGTCCTGTACGGGCAGATGCAAAGGGCCAATCATGTACGATGTCGGTTCTGGAAAAGGGGCCAAGGTGGACTCTGCAGATTGGTTCCCAGTGCTTTGCCCACCCCCACAAAACGAAAAACACCAGAAAAGTTGCTGCAATGGCAAGAACCAGACGAACACATTGGCCCATTCTTCCTTCCTCGTGCAATTCACCTCATCCAGGTGGCAGTCGCTCTTGCCCTGACCATAGATTGCCCACCACGGCAAACGGCGGGACAAGACGCTGTCTGTGACCAGTCATCCTTCCGGCTGTCAGAATGTGCTCGTCCGTCCTTCCCGGTAAAAATAGCGACTCGTGGCCGGGCCATCCTTGGTGCCAGGCCGGAATGCCGTCTGTTCGCCATTCTGCTGTCTTCTTTCCGTCTTCACTTTGCATCCATGCTTCGGCTTCCCCTATCCAACTTCCGTGCGCCCTTTTCCCATTGATCCCATTAAACATTTTGACACCATTTCCCGATTCGATCAGCCTCTGTTGCCTGAGTCGTCGTCACCCGCTGCCCTACGTGGCCCGAAGAAGGAATTTCGACTGCGTCTAGACTGAATCCGTCTCAATAATCGACCGATAGAGGCCGTCGCTTCCATGCACCCGACCGCACCTCTCATCACCAGGGTCGCCCGGGAAAAGAGCATACAAGTAGTCCACAACACCACAAACAGTTCGTCTCAAGGGAGGGTTCCTGCCACGTCTGCTACCCAGTACGCCTCTGCCATCAAACGCGTTGGACATCCACGGCGAGAGCCTGGACCTGAGCGGATCTACGAGGCACCACCAACCTCAGCCGGGAAGCTGGGACTCACGGCGGCTGCCATCCACCATCGCTCATTTCCAGCCGCGCATTCCACGAGGGGGTCCCCTGTCCACAGCCGCCGCCTCCCCAATCTTGCCAGGCCACCACATCGAGATTTGAGGTTTGCAACCAAGAACCCTACCATATCCGCGTCAGTCTCTGCGGAGGCGCCACTACAACCTGCAGCATAAACTTCATTCAAAGTCAAATGCATGGAGAGGAGAAGGCCATCCGTGCAGTGCCCCGGATCCAGCGGCCCGGCGGCAACCTCAAAAATTTTCCTCGCTCGTACACGGTGAAACTGCGCTCCTCGGTTCCTTGCAGAAGGGATGCTCCCTCCAGACATTGACAGGTCTCGGCCGCGGCTCACTTGGCTGCTACTGTGCGTGCGCGAGAGTTCGATATTTGGCCCAAAGTGGTCTCATTCAACTGGGTCTCATTTCCTCCGTGCCGGTACGCCGCTTAGCCCGGAGCGCTCCATGTCTCCCGCTTCCGCATGCCCAACTGCCACGCGGTGTTGACGACCGTCCTGTGTTATCCTATCGTCCACCACGTTCACAACGCCCTCCCAGCTCGGTGGGCTAGCGCCCCGCCGGTGCGAGGTCTATTGCTTTGGCTTTCGCCGCGCTCTCTGCTAGTCGACGGGTACCTGCGCCTCCCTACATAACGCCCACATACCGCCGCATGGGAAATGGTCAAGCTCCAGGCGGCGCGGTGGCGGCTCGTACAACGGCGCCACAGATCGAATACAAGCGAGAAGAAAATTGTGCAACGGGCGGGCGCTTTCGGCCTGGCTGGCCATTGAGTGATATCATGACCCCCTTTGCGTTAGCATCTCCATGCCAACATTATGGACGCAGCGGAGAGTAATTAACCAAGCCAGGCGTGAGCGTGAACATGTGACTCGATACATCAATGAAGCCCTGGTGTGCAAAATCGTCCATCAAATAATACCAGAGACAACGAGTTGAGCAGTCGGAGGTTGCTCAGCGACAACCTCTCTGCGATACGAAGCCTGATAGCGTGTCGCACAAACTAGACCGCACTTGGTTGCAATGGGACCATGGTATCACAGAGGACAAGACACCGAGACAATGAGCAAAGTAGCCTGGATCCTCCACCACCTGCTCAGAGCCTCAGACCACGCTCTCCTCCCACGGGTCGCACAGCATGTAGTCTTCACTCCAGTGACTCTGAGACAAGTCTCAGTATTCCGCCATGCTCGTAAAAAAAGACTCCGCTTCCACTTCTTGCACTTGGTGTTGGCAAGCATCCCAGCAGGGCAGCTTTATGGTCGGTACGAAGCTCGATAAATTGTACCTTGTGGTGCGTGGATTTGGAGATGGAAGCAGTCGTGTTGGCAACGCCAGTGAAATGCTCGTTTCTTTCTAGACGCTGCCTTCTAGCAAATGGGTTTGCTCTCGTGCGCGATGCCCCCAAGACTTGGGCTGCCGTAGTTAGGAAAATTACAATCATAGCTAGGAGCTGTTTGACATACTAAAAGCTCTATCAATGATCTTCATCTCTCTATTTCTCTATCTCTATTCTATCTCCATCCCTCTTTGCGTCTCTATCTCTACCCCTGTCTTCGTCCCTGCCTCCGTCTCTTTTCCTCCTGATGTAACCTACACACGCTTGAAATGCACCTCTTATTCCTGAGTGAATGAGACGAGAATGAGGATGAGTGTTGAGGAAAGATGCCTATTGGGGTGTGTTATTTTGATCTATTTAATGCAAAACATATCATCTTTGAGTCCTCGGTCTATTGCGTTTCTGACAAAATGATAGCCATCACAACCCAACGTTGAAACGGCCGGTTTCCTGGAGATCCTTCAAAGCCTCAATATTGGCGCCAAGGAAGGCAGCCCGCATCTTCTCACTATCGCCTTCCTCCAATATGCCCACTTCCATCACGTCACCAACTCCGTGTTCCCAGAGCTCTCTGATAGGAAGGTCGAGTGGCATATTTGGGAATCGCAAGAAAAATGAGATCCCAAACTCCGAGAGGACGATATCTCTGACTCGGTGTGTAAGGCAATAACAAATCCCCTGCTTCGAGAGATTGCTCGATCCCACATCGAGCTTGATCGCCTCCGGCGTATTCACCTGCGAACCCCGCGCTCTCATGCGGTTATGGACGGCGACCGGGAGGGGGAGAGGTGCAGCTGCGGCCTTGATGTTCTTGACGCGGGAGGCCAGAATACCCGTTCGCTTCATCTCAACGCAAGTGAGGCATACAGATTTCGCCTTGAGACTCGCTTGTTCGAGATTGATCTTTCGGGCGTCTGCGGGATCCAGGACAACCATCATGTCCGGGCGAACCTCGACGTGCGACTCGGCAACAGGGCTTACTCGGACACTGTGTAGCGATGAGATCCGTTTTCTCTTGGTCGGTCTGGTGCTGCGGTTACTCGTCGTCGCCTTGTTGGCGTCGCTCTTGGCCTTGCCGCTGGCGGCGGCGACGGCGGGATCAGGCTGGGGTTTGGGGATGGACGGAAGGCGTAATTCGTGCTCCCACGTGCATTTGACGTCGTGGGTGTCCGATTCTATGATATGGGCGAGGCACTCCAAAGTCGGGTGGGCAATATGGGTATGAAAAAGCACCACGTTGTCTTGCTCGGCGTTCCTCTGTAAGGCGCTGCCACCCTCGGCAACCAGGTGCTGGTTGATACCCGATCCCAGGACCTTGTCCTTGTAGTCCTCTGCAAGCTGAGTGTATTTGGACATGTCCACTAACTTGATGTTCTGCGGTATGGTCCGAGTTGTTGCCGTGTAGCTGATTGATGTTGGAGTAGTCTTTCGGGCTCCAACGGAATAGCGGGGGAGACGGTGCTCATGCGAGAAAACGGCATCTGTCGTTCTGAGCGGTGCGAATGACATCGTGAACAAGGGTTTAAGTGAATGTTTGGTACTAGTCGTAGTAGGGTTGGGATGCCGAATTACAAAGTCAAATAAAATGACGATAAAAGACTGGCAAGAAGTTGAACTTGGCAAGATGAAGTTGAGAAGATGAACTTGGCAAGATGAAGTTGGCGAGAAGGTGAACTTCGCAAGAAGGCCTGCGGGTTCGGTAGAGTTAAGATGAAAAAGCCGTAAGTACTGGCAACGAGGAGATTCTGACGCCGGGCAGCCTCCTTCCTATCTTGAGAACGTCTGTGGACTCAAATCCCTACTGTTTGGCCATGCCATGAATTCCGTGTTCGTAGCCTGAGGGTTTACAAGACAGATACTCAAAGTAAGTCGCAACACTCCCCTCAAACGCAGTCAGACTGGAAGAAAAAGGAAAACAAGTGAACGTCACCATCAGAGACCCAATTGTGAGAATAGCAAACAGAATGAAGAACAGCAAATAGAAGCGAATAATCTCACCAAATCCACCAAAACCGGTGAGACTTGTCAGCTGGCATCCCTATCTGCGCATACCCTTTACAGACATGAAAGCCAAGGATAATTTCAAATCCAGCCTTGGGATGGGCTCAGGCACTTGATTCATCACGATTCGCTGGGCGGCAGACAAAGAAACGGTGAGCCGCGCAGGACGAGGCATGCCGGGACACGTCTCGTCTATTCCACAGGTCGCAGATCTTTGCCATCCACCACGGACACGTGTGTTAGTCTTGTCTATCACCACGGTAGACATCGGCGTTTTCTGACCCGGCGATTTATGAAGCCTAGGGTGACCGAGTTGATGCGGGCCTGGTATCCATGATCCTGTCTCTTACCACGTGTCTCTGCTAGGCAAGGCCATCCTATCCGTTGGTACAAACGAGAGGCACGAGTAGTCTAATAACACACGACAAAAGATAGGCAGCAGACGGGTTGCAGCGGAAGAGTGCCGAAGAGAGTGTTTTCCATGTCCTTTGCCGCTTGGTGAAGATATCACGTAGATGGCATGGCAATATGCTTGCCACGCTTTCTCATACTCAAAGATCTCCCCAAATCATTCTTTGCTCGGCAACTCAACTACTCAATTGGGGCACAGTCTTCGTCACTGTTTTCATTTTCAATTTACGTTGCGCTATTCTAAGCCGGTCTCGGCTTCATTTCCGTCATGATTTGTGTCGTTGGATTCAATATTCACACTTACACGGGTTATTCCGTGTAGAGTACGCATGGGTTCATGAAATATATGGGGAGCATGCTATACTTTACACATTTGTTCCGGAAAGGTTCCTTCGGCATCCAACTCGACATGTTGAAACACAATAGCTGGCAATTGGTCCAGTGGGCCATCGTCACCCACAGGATCAACGGTAAGCCAAGGCAGCACTCTTACATGGCTGCCGGTAGCAATTCCGTAAGAGCCACTGCAACGCAATACTATATGGGTCTCCAGAGCAATCACGGCATCTCAACGTATCGCGTCGCGTGCGCAGGGTGCTTCCAGTATTGAAGGCTGCGAGCCGTGGTACCGCCATCACCGGTGCCACGGCTGTCACTTGCCTGGCCGCATCCTGACGAGATGAGACTTGCGCACATATAGACAAAACACCACTACGGTCTGTCTGAGCTTGTCTGCCTTATGACGTGGTAACAAATGACATTGTCGGCCGTGCTTTGACAAACAGACCAAGGTACCTTAATGGGTTTGAGATGACAAAGTGGGGTAACGACCAAGAGATATGGTAACTGAATTGATCTCCTCTTCCTCTGTGTGACTTTCATGGCTGGCTGCACCTTGGCGGACGGTAAGGTAACGTGCGAAAACTTTATAAAGTTGTAGTATATACGTGGGAATACAGCGCCACCCAGAGTCCGGCATGTCCACACAACCGGTATTTTTGGAGAGCAAAAGCAAGCCACCAAGGAGATATCTCCGTTTGCTTCACCCAAATCCTTAATTGGGGTCACCCACACCCAGTCATCCTGCCATTCCATCTCAACTCCCTCTCTACAACTCCTCTTCTGACCACGCCTCTGCTACCTATCTTGAGTTCACTCCATCTCAGCCTCTATCCGTTCCTCATCCTTACTGTCGTTACTGCCCATCATGGTCATGTCCGCCTTTGACAGATTCATGGACTCGCAGTTCGCCAAATATGATCCAGGAAAAACGCTGACGCTCTATCCCCACAAGGTAGTCGAACCATATGGCCTGGAACATTACGACAACCCACCGAAACTGGCTGTTCCAGAGGGCCATCTCCGTGACTTCGATCCCAAGGCTCACAGCCCCAAGACACGCGGCTCTGTTGAAGTCATCAAGCTTCTATCAGGTGGCATCGGCGGCGGCGCTCAGGTCCTGCTGTGCAAAGTTTCGAAACAACCCGCTGAATACAGACCGTCCCACGCTCCGTTCCCGGAGCCGCAAAGATACGTCGTCGCCAAAATCTTCGATCCCATGTTCTTCCCGGGCAACAATGGAGTCCTCTCTGCGCTGGTTGGGAACGATGTTCTCGCCGAGCAGCTCCTGAGCCGCGAGTCCGGAGCGTACGAGTACCTCTACGACAGGGGAAAGCCCAAAGCCCCTCCATCCGATTCCAAGGGAAAGGGCAAGAAGCAGGAAACCAGGAACACAATTACCGGTCACCCCAATCTCATCCCCCAGTACTACGGAACCTGGGCCATCAGGTTTGGGATGGGCAAGGGCAAGTACAGGGAGGCCGGCCTGGTTCTGATGGAGTACATTGAGGGCCACGCCATTGAAGAGCTTTGCTATAGGGAGGAAGACGACGGCTATCTTCTCCCGGTCACCGAAGAGGTCATCTTCCACGACTTCGCCGGCTTGGCAGGCACGATCCAGCCCAGGAAGGTAAAGTTGACCGAGCCTTTCCGACTGAAGGCCTTTCGCGAGATACTCCATCATCTCGTGGTCCACATGCACATCGGCGTGGAACACGCCGACTTCATCCCGGCAAACGTCATCATCACCCTTCGCAACCACGGGGGAGTCACCGGTGTACGCGAGCTAGATGAACCGCGGCCCGTCTTGCTCGATCTTACCCTGACAAAGGTATGGCGCAAGACAAAGTATGCGCAAGGCCCCGGCATGGGGCGGCACTGTCTCGAGTGGCTTCCCAACCCCCCTCACCCAATGGAACGAGCGTCTCCCCAGGGTATGGAGCTGTACATTGGCTGGTTCGACGCCGAGTGGTCGAAAGAGCGGTTCGAGGAATGGTTGGTGCAAGAGTTTGGCCCTCTGGAGGAAGGCTCGGAGGAAGGCTCAACTGGAAAGTACTCTACGTTTGCCACGCTGGATAAGTTAGAGGCCGATTATTTCAAGAAGAAAGATGAGGAGGCGAAGGAGAAGATGAGAGCTGAGCAGGACGAGGCAGTCAGAGTCATGGCTTCTGCGAGTCACAAGGCCAGCGACGAGCGCGTGCAACACTCGCAAAGCCGAGCAAACCCTCCCTCCACAAGCCGTCGACAGCAATACCGATCCGACGAGTCCACCTCGACGGAGAGTGGCGAAGAAGGCATCCCACGCAGCTTGTACCGGAAGCTCCAGGAAGCGAAACTCGTAGCCAGCGAGAGCAGTTTTGGCGGCTCGCCCTCCCCTCGGTCGACGCCCCGCTCGGCGCAGAAGCCGGTGGAGAACGAGGAGGAGATGGATACCATTGAGGAGGAATAGGAAAGTTACTCAAGTACCTTGGGCTGGGAATAGAGGACTTGGATTGTGTTGGATAAGATTAGATTGGGTGGCCATGTTCATGTTGTCTCCAGATTGACCAGATTATTGAGACGTGGGTTTCGTTGCCTTGCGATTTTGAGAGGTAGACCAAAAAAATAAAAGGTTCTATCACCAGTGCATCCTCTTTCCTACTGCTGTTCAAGAAAGTGCATTCACCAAACGCGTGGCCACCACGTCTACATTCCCACCAACGCCACACACCACCTCGGCCATGTTAGAGCGTGCTATCAATTGACTCGACGTCTTGGCATCATCACATATAATAGGATACAATCCAGACAAGGCCAGAGGCATGTGACCTAGTCATAGTCCGGTCCAATCCAGCAAGGCCAGGCATTACATCCACAGTGCCTAGCTCAACCTCTGTCCCGCCACCACATCACATACAGTCACACGTAGGAAAGCAACGCAAGCTTTTGAAAGATGGGAATTACTTCTAAGCGAGTAGGTACCCCGAGTACCCACGGAGGGGAGTCTATTCTCTCAACCCTGCCCATTAAACCAAAAGGCTACATACAATACCCCGACATTTCTCATCCATCTAACCCCCTTTTTGTTTTGACGTTGACGAACGTCTTTGGCAAATCTCTCTTGTGAACGAGTCAAAACGCCAAATGATGCAGAAAAAAAAAAGACATGGACCAGTGTGATGATCCGGATATCTCTAGAGGCGACGCAATGAGGCCTCAGCAAATGCAACACTCGCGACAAACCAAACAAACAACTTCTCACGCGCATCCATACCACGTCTAGCTGTTCTTCTCCAGGGACTGGAGGTTGACCAGCTCGGCATAGCGGCCATTCTTCTTCATGAGCTCGGCGTGCGTACCTTGCTCGACAATGCGACCCTGGTCAAACACGTAGATAATGTCGGCCTTTTGAATGGTGCTGAGACGATGCGCGACGGCAATCGTTGTGCGGCCCTTGGCGGCCTTGTCGAGGGCAGCCTGGACGACGTGCTCGGACTCGGAGTCGAGGGCAGATGTGGCCTCGTCCAGCAGCAGGATCTTGGGATCACGGATGAGGGCGCGGGCAATGGCGATACGCTGCTTCTGACCTCCAGACAAAAGAGCGCCCTTGCTTCCAACAACCGTGTTGAAACCCTCGGGCATCGAGACGATAAAGTCGTAAATGTTGGCCTCGCGACAGGCAAACTCGATGGCCTCGTCGGTAACCTCTGTGTGAGCACCGAGCAGAATATTCTCCCTGATTGTGCCCTGGTACAGGGTGGGCTCCTGACTGACGAGGGCGATGAATGAGCGGTACTCGTTGACGTTGAGCGTGCTAATCTCCTTGCCGTCGACAAAGATGGCGCCGGAAAGCGGGTCGTAGAAGCGCTCGAGAAGGGCAATCGTGGTAGACTTGCCGCAGCCGGACGCTCCGACAAGTGCGACGTACTGGCCGGGGCGAATGACGAGGTTGAGTCCGCGGAGGACGGGCTGCTCGGGTCTGGTTGGGTACCGGAAGTGGACGTCGCGGAACTCGAGGGTGCCGTCGACGGCGTCGAGAGAAGCGCCCTCCTTGGACCAGGTGTCGATGGTCGGCTTGCGGTCAAAGAGAATCTTGAGCTCGTTGGCGGCCTGGTGAGCCTTGCCCATGTCGGGAGCAAACGAGAAGATGGAGCCAGCCGACTGCGCACCAAAGATGACGGCAGAGAAGCAGACGAAGAACTGGAACATGTTGTACTCTCCATTGGCGATGAGGGTACCACCGTACCAGAAACCGAGGGCAAAGGCCAGGAACATGAAGGACTGGGACGCGGCGAACAGCAAGCTTGACTTGAGGATCGAGATGAGACTGGCGCGCTGTTGGATGGCCAGGGAAGTCTGGTACTGGCGTATGACGTCGTCCTCGCGCGTGAGCGAGGCAACGGTGCGGATGGCCGAGATTGCCTCGGATGCGTAGCTCGCCGAGTTGGAATAGGCAGTCTTGGAGCGGCGCTGGAAGTGGGCGAGCATCCAGAAACGGAAGAAACCACAGCCAATGAGGATCGGGATGGTTGCAGTACAGACGAGGGCGAGCTTCCAGCCAATGGCGATGGCGAGCGCCAGTGCAGCAACCAAGGTTGTTGTGACCATGAGCAGGGTGCCGAGGGTGACGCCGCTAAGTCCGGCCAAGTGGGTGGTCTCGGTGGACAGGAAGGAGGTGAGCGCGCCGGCCGTGTTGGAGTCCTTGTCAAAAAAGGCAACGTCTTGGCGAAGCATGGTGCGGAAGGCCTGGTCACGGACGCGGTGGATGAGGCGCTCGGAGCACTTTGCAAAGGCGATTCCCTGGATGACAAAGGCAATGAACTGGACGCCGGCGAGCATCAGGTACATGGCGCTCCAAAAGTCGGAATCCTTCTTCATCTGGTGGAGGGTCTCCTGGGTGGTCTGCGGGGTGATGGGAACCGACAAGGTCATAATCTGCTTGGCGAAGAAGACGGCCTGGGTAGGGTTGCCACCACCGCAAATGATGGAGAAGACAAGACCGATGAGCATGAGCTTCCACTCCTTTTGGTTGAACGAGGCGATGAGCTTGATGAGGGTCCACAGACTGTACTTGACCTCACCGTCGTCCTTCCGGTTCTGGAGGGCAATACTGGACAGAGACTTGGAGGTTGTTGTTCGCTGCAGTTTGGCGGCCATGTTGTCTTCCGGGTCGGCAACGTAGCCCTTGTCGGAGGCGCGCGAGGCTTTGCGGATGATCTCGTCGTCTTCGGCGTCAATGGCTTCTTCCTCCTCGGCGTCCATCTCGTTGACGCGGGCAATGTTCTGGGCCGTGACGAGGTTGTAGTAGGCGCCCTGCTTGGCGAGAAGGTCGTTGTGGGTACCCTGCTCGACGATGCGGCCGCTGGACATGACGACAATGTTGTGGGCATCCTTGATGGTGGACAGACGGTGGGCAATGGTGATGGTGGTTCGGCCCTGGGAGGCGACTTCGAGAGCGGCTTGCACAACGCCCTCGGACTTGGTGTCAAGGGCAGAGGTGGCCTCGTCGAGAAGCAGAACTAGGGGGGATTAGCAAAGGGACACAGATAGGAGGTGCAGAGTCGACGTACTCTTGGGGTTGGACACGACCGCTCGCGCAATGGCGATGCGCTGCTTTTGGCCACCGGAAAGTAGGAAACCGCGCTCGCCGACGTTGGTGAGGTACCCTTCGGGGAGACCGCTAATGAAATCGTGAGCGTTTGCCATTTTCGCCGCCTCCTCGATGAGCTTCTTCTGCTCCTCCTCGGACGCGTTCTCGTGCTGGGTACCAATGAGACCGTATCGGATGTTCTGGTAGATGGTGGTCGCGAACAGAGTGGGCTCCTGGCTGACGAGCGCCATTTGCTGACGCAGCCAGCGCAGGTTAAGGGTGCTAATGTCGTGGCCGTCCAGAAACACTGATCCGCGGACGGGGTCGTAGAATCGCTCGACGAGACCGACAATGGTACTCTTGCCGGAGCCCGAGGCGCCGACTAGAGCCGTGGTCTTACCCGCAGGAATGGTCAAGCTCACGTCGTCCATGACTGTGACCTCTGGGCGAGACGGGTAGATGTGCTTAATGTTCTCGAGGCGGATTGTGCCTTCGACCTGCTCGAGCTTGGTTCCGTCGTCGCGGGAAGGGTCCAGGGGAGAGACGCGGTCAATGGTGTTGTAGATCTTGGCGGCCGCCGCAATGGCAGTGGTGAAGGCCTGGACGTTGGGGGCGACGTTTCCGAGGTTAAAGGCACCAATCATGATGGACATCATGATGATGAGAATGTTGGACAGCTTGATGCCGTCGTCGATGAGGAACTTGCTTCCCTGCCAGAACGCGAGACCGTAGTTGAGGTACAGAATGGTCATCATCAGCGCGACCATGACGCCAATGGCGGACTTGACCTTGTAGCCAAAGAACTCGGCCTTTGTGAGGTGCGCATCGTACTGTTTGGCGAGGCGGTCCTGGGTGCCAAAGGCGACGGCGTTGCGGATGGAGCTAATGACCTCGTCGGCCAGACTGCCTCCGTGGGCGTACGACTCGATGGACTGCTTGCTGTACTTGACGATAAAGGTCGAGCCGCCTCCCATGCTCAGGAGAAGGGCGACAACAGTAGACAAGAGGATCAGGGTGAGCTTCCAGTAGTGGACGAAACCAATGACAAAGGCCGAGATGAAGGTGGCGATGGCGGCAAGCGTAAGGCCGACCTTTTCCGAGATACCGTCCTGGATCAGGTTGGTGTCGGCGGTGATTCGGGTCGTCACCTCGCCGGCGCCCAATTTGTCGAAGAAACCAATGTTCTGGCGCATGCAGCTCTGGAGGTAGTGCTCGCGAATCTTTGCGCTAATGTGCTCTCCCGTGTCTAATTTTGGTCTTGCGTCAGATTTAGACTCACATCCTCCCGCCGGGGCGCAAACTTACAGATGAATCCGACCGTGGTGATGTACTGGCACACAAAAACACCAATGGCGAGGTAGACAAAGTACAAGACAAGGCTCGCCATCTCGCTGTTAAAATCGTCCTTGGACGTCGTGCCGGCAAAGTAGTTCTGGAAAGTGCCCTGCAGGTTACCAAAGATGACCGTCATGAGCGGCAGTGCGGCGCCGACCACGATGGAGGTGAAGGCGGAGAGGGAGAGGATGAGCAGGTCGTTGGTCGAAGAATACCGGTACAGGGTCATGATGCCGGCCTTGACTTCGGGAGTGAAGACCTGACGCTTGAGGATCGCGGCCTCATTGGCGGGCAGGTGCTCGTAGGGGTCATCGCTGGGGTCTTTTGGTGCGATAGCCTTGGAGTCGGCCTTTTCGAGATTGCTGGTGATGTTGGCCGTCTGGTTCTTAGGCTGGATTGATGCATCCACTTCGGTCGAGTCGCCATGGGACGATGCCCTGTCAGAGTGGCCGTTGCTGGCTGTCTTCTCAGCCACCTCTGTTGACTTTTCGCTTGCCCCGACGGGCTTCTCGTTTTCGAGAGACATGCTGGCGCCGTGGCTCCTGACAGAGCTGTGCGCAGTGTGTAGAGAAAGCTTGTTGCGCCGGTATGCGCTGTGCGCAAGCTGTTTGGGATGCGATTGTCGGGTTCCTATACGTGAAGTGTCGTCGCTCGTGTGGCTTGTATATTACGGCTTGGGTAGGTTGGTCCGACGACGAGATCCGAATCGTTCTCCCCTCGAATTACAATCAATCCTATGATATATAGACAGACCAGTGAATGGAAGGGCGGAGAAAATCGACCACGGCGAAAGCCAAGAAAGAATTCGCGGCGATCGGAGTCGGGATCGTCGTTGTCGCGCGCAGACAGGCGAAAGAGCGGGAAAACAACACCTGCAGTCGATTTGACGTGCCTCCCTCGACAATTAATAAAACAAGACGAGGACGGATGGAGAAAAGAGGCGTGTTCCCACTCGGGTTGCAGGCCAGGATAGGGATTAGTGGAATTGTCGCAAAGGCGTGGACTGGAGAATAGAAAAAAAAAAAAGTACCCAGGACCTTGGCGAGGGACGGACTGGGGTGTGCACATTTGATATAGATGGACGGCGGGCCTAGTGGTAGGACGTGACCGGGGTGGCACGCCGCAGGAGAGAAGGAGAAGGAGACGACTACTAACACAAGGAAGAAATGGGGGCAACCGGCTTGGACGAGATTCGACGGAATGCAGCCGACCCGTTCTGACCTCGCTCTTGTCAACTTCCCGACCTGTGACTAGCTCGGTTCCTTGCGTACCTCTACCATGCCCGAACCGCGCCGCCTACATGCGTGTTCATCGTCCATCTCATGTTGACTCACTGGCCCGCCGCTCATCATCAGACGAGAGACAGGAACGGGGAGGGACTTTGGTACGGATGGCTACGAGGAGGAGCACTTGTTTCGTGCGATCCCTTCCCTCTTGGGCACGCCGATATCAATGCCGGTGACAGTCATCCGGGAACGATGATGCCCGACTATCTTACTGTGGTAGATTCTATAGGGCTTTCTCACCACCTACGTTAGTTGGTGTGTACAAGGTACTCGTACTGGTATACGCAGTACTCACATTGGCCTATTCGGTCTTGCTAGCTGGGTTCGCAGGGCATCGAGTGCGAAGTGCGAGCTGTGGGACCGATGAGCAGCAGTCGCAGCACGTTGCAACGCACTGATGATTGCAGCCAAGGTTGTGATACCGCAGCTTGCGCAGTAAACCAACGCTGCACGTCGGGCCTGCCCCGGGGTTCAAGAGCCAAGAGGGACCGGAATTCAATGGTTGGCGCACACAGCTCTACCTCAGGTACGGATACGCAGTACTTCATTGTTCAGCAAACTCCACAATGCTAAGAGTTGGACACGTTGCCGGCAGGCTTCAGCTCTCTCCTTCCCCTTCTCCGCTCCTTCTTTCCTGTCTTGGTATACTTTTGCCCAGGCGGCCTTCCGCGAGATATTCTGGGGAAAGAGGCTTGGAGACGGGAGGCAAGTACAAAAGTACAAAGTACATGCATGCGCCTTAGTCATTCGCAGAAACAGGCAAGCACTGCGTCCTCTTGTGAATCGACGCTACCGTTTTGTGGACCTCCTCCTCACCTTCCAAAGTTCCTTTCTTCAGACTCGAATGACTACGATTAATCCTTCGTATCTCGCTTCATCCACGTCCCCGATACGCCTTGAGATATACGTGTAATGGACAAAAGTCAAAACTCAGCTTTCACCGGGCCCCAACGCTTCCAATCAGCAACCGATCATGTTTCGTCCGTATATCGACCGTGTCGACAAACAATCCCAGTACGCCGGTCCAGCAATCGAGAAAGAACACAGTCTCGGAGAAGCCGTGCATTGGGCTTCCGACCTGCACGTCATGTTCGGATCATCCACCGGCCAAAAACAATAGGGAGCCAGGCAGCTGCTGTCGAGGTAAGCACTGGCAAGCAGGTACATGCGACAGTGTACTTCGTACTCGTCCTAACCCGTTCTGTCTCACCGTAGTCCAAGTCAGGCCCGTGTCTCGCTACCGCCCCCGGTCGAGTCAGCCGGCGTGGTAATACCCAGCCCAGCGCCTCGCTTAGCGACCTACGCCGCTACGCTTCCCCCCGCCAGCAATACTATTCTGCGGCTTTGCCCCCCCCTCGGGTTTCTTCAGCAGTCCGAATTCCGATCCATTCTATTTCCTATCCACGGTTCCTTGACCAGCTTCCAGAAAATTACGACGTACCCATCCCTTGCGGCTGCTCTTTCAGCTTGGAGGGGTGTCGCTACGTGTTACAGCGAGTATACCCCGCCATAAGCACACACGCACCCAACGAATAATTTACCGATACAATACGGAGTATCCGTACTTTGATGACAATGGCAATCCCTCATCTTTCGCCCGTCTAACGGTGACGAGGGCATGGCGGGCCGGGTCCCTTTCCCACCTATGTCCGGACCAGTCCTGAGGCGCCGGCGATAACGTTCCCTCGGGCCCCGATCCTGTGGGTCTGCGGAGGGGAGTGCGAGCGATTCAATAGGGGGCCCAGCGGATAAACCGTAAACGGTCCTTGGCCCTGGGTCGACTATCCGCGCCGAGCTCTCTCGTTCCGGCGGCTGGACGATTACGACGCTTCGTTACTCTGTCATGGGTGCCGATGTCGTTGAAAACGAGATACGAAATGCAAGTGCTTACAATCTAAAAGGTACAGAGTTTGAACTGCGATTCGTGATGGCTGCCAGGATTGTGCTTCGGCCAATGGGTCGTCTTCCAGTGTTGTGGACGGGACGATCTGGACTTGGCCCAAAGTTCCCTGATTCTCAGGAGCGGTGTACTGCCGCGGTCACCTATGGAACAGGCCGTCTCAAACACCTGTTGGTTTAGACGAGCTGCTGGATTTCAGACTTTGAAGGGTCCCCGCAGCCCTCTCACGCGCACCCCAACAGGGGTGAGCCTTGGACAGAACGCAGATGCTGTCATTGATCGAGGTCTCATGCCAGCACAAAGGCACGCGTAACGTTTGGATACGCGGGCTCGGATATGATCGATTAGAGATGGCAATGGATTACTAGGCAAACTACCTGGACGTCTGACAATGCCAGTCGGATCGCGGAGTGCATTGTCGCCGCCGTAGCTAATGTACTAGTGATGAGGGCCTCACGCTAAACTGAATCGCGGGCGTAACACAGCTACTCTTGTCCCGTACGGCGGGTATTTTGACGCCGTTCCCCGATCGACCAGCCAGGCCGTATTTGCTCGCATTCTCTTAGCAGATGCGAGCCGTCGCTTGTTTCAACAACCCACTATCCCACGGCGGTCAGCAATCGTCGGTCTCCCGGGACGCCACAAGACACCGCCAAATTCTCCGGGCCCTACCCTGACCGGATGACTGCCAAAGACGTACCGCAACCCCGGGACGGGTCAAACATGGAGTGACAGTGACACCTGACACGTGTGCCATCTACATCTTGAGGCGCGTGGAAGCCTGGTGCAACACGACCAGTTGAGCCTCAAGCACCGCTATGACGAATTTCTCCGGTTTGCCTTGGCCGGCGCCGTCGATCATCCGCAGGTAGTCTTCCCGCTTCAAGTCCCGGGTGACGACGGGACTGTAGCCCTGACGCGCCAGGTAATCCTGCTTAACCATGCGACTGGTACGCCCATTGCCATCGGGAAACGGATGAACGAGAACAAAGTAAGCCGTCATCTGACAAGCCAAAATCAGCGGGTGCAGCGCCTTCTCTCGATGCTGCAGGTCCCGATATTGGAAGAACCTCTCCATGCAAGCCGGGACCTCTTGCAGGTACGGAAAGATTCGAAGACGATTGCTGCGTACGCTGAGAGGTAGATTACGGTACTCTCTCAGCGGGACTTTCGATCCCCATACCAAGTTGCCGCCAGCCTTTTTCGAGTCTGTTCTCCAGGTGTCATAGGCCGACTCGGAGTCTGTATTGACGACGGACACCACGGCGAGGTCTCGTACTTCAACTTCGCACAGTCCTGCTATACCAGCCTTGGCCGCCGCGTTCTCTGCGACCCATTGCGATGCGATGATGTAGTTCTGCAGCTCATGCGTGGCTGACTCGATGACGCCTGCGACTCTTGGAGCAGTCTACGCCGTCACAAGTCTGGCAAGCTCGCTGCTGGGCGTGGAGGCAAGGCAAACTTGTTCAAGACCACCACGCAGGCTTTCGAAATTGCGGATCGAGTCTTTCACTGAAAGAGTGTTGTTTTCAATCATTACGGACTGCTGGGCGCACTCGGCAACCAGGGTTTTCCCTAGGGCCCGTCACTGGCAGTCTCCCTCAGTTTCCGCTGCACATCGACGTACCCCATCTCGAGGCTGTTGCCGGGCATAAAGTAATCTTCCCATACCCGTCCGGAGCGCGCCAGCCTTTCGTACTCGATAGTGCCTTTCTGCAAGTGGGCGGCTGGTTTGAAAATCTTTCTTGAGCAGGGCAAGACGCGCCTGCTGCGTGCTGGACAGAATCCGATTAGACATCATGAGGTACTCGGCATGTTCAGCAGCTTTGCAACGCGTGGATTTTTGTACTATGTAAGTTGGCGGTGCTGATCAAGGGTGGTCCTGGTAGGTCTCATGGTGATTCATCCGGTGTGCATGTGCCTTCACAGGTCAACCTTTTCCCAAGCAATGGACGCAGAGGTGAACCTGCCTGAACATACGAACCTTGTGGCATCCGAAGCGCGCAAGGTGTTGGCATTTGACACGGGAAACCATGGGTCAGCGCTCGCAGCTCCAGAGTCTCTTGCCGATGGATCGCCGTCGTCGGTGCCGAGTTGGCGAGATCCAGGCGCCGCTCGAAGTCTATCGCACACGACCGGAGACTCTTATTTTGCTGTGGTCGGGAGTGTCTCTTGTCGGCCCCCTTGATCATGCCGTACCTAGAAACCCGTTGAAATGCGTAGAATCGGTATATGCTAGCAGAGCTGGACCAAAGTCGAATGCCCGTGTGACGAACCCCAACATCAGCCTCGGACCACGTTCAAAGAGGCGGGAAGTCCACAGGCCAAAGAAAGGCTCTGCGGAGGCGGCAGGAGGGGAAAAGGGACCAGAGCACGGTCCCCGTCCCTTTTTGACGTGCATGCCTATGTAGGAGAGGAAGAGAAAGGAAGTAACGGGCAGTGGAAATAGTCCGACCTGCATTATCTGATCTGATTTCGATCAAAGATTTCTTGCCTCGATGGACCGAGTTCAAATGCCGAGATGATTTCCATGTTCCTTAGGTCCGACTGACGCGTTCCCACCGCCGGTCGTCGTTTGACGGTACCGCCCAAGAAGACAGCCGCGATGCTTGGTAGGAATCGCATGGATCTGGGACACGACGGAAAAGACGAGCTGAACTGCGCTTGGCGCCCGAAACCGAGCCGAACGCGAGACGGTATCCATGTCGGGATCTTGGTCTGGTTCTGGCCGTTTCACTGGCGGACTGAGTGTATGGAGTACGGAGTAGCTGTGGGGAGCTCTGGGGCAGAGCGGCATTGACTCAGGTGAATCCGTAGGTTCTCCTTTTTTCTTCTTATTTTGGAACGATGCGTCTTCTACGATGATGATTATGTCTCGTAGCAAAGAGTGTACGTCCTTGATGCTGTGACTTCTGCCTTTTGGGTGGCCCTTGGAGTCTCTCTGTCCGTAGCGCGAGCTTCGTGCTGGTCTGCTCATATGGAAGTAGGTATCACTCCGTAAGGTAGTGTACACTAGAATTCAGAAGCATGTGGGGCCGTACCTTGCAGCTTAATATTCACAAGCCCAAGCGTGCCAGCCTATCACGGTGGGCAGTGGTACTGTAAAGTGAGATTAACTTCCCTTGGTCGGAGATTCGCTAGTCGCCATAATGCAAAATGAGCCTCCAAGCTCTGGTTCACAGTCTGCAAAGGTATGTAGAACCATGGACAAGCACCGACCCTGGAGGGGGGATGTGGATGGTTGTACGTAGTAGTGAACTTTGAAAGTTTGTCTCTGACTGAGTGCTGTGCTCTTGCGGCGTACCTCCAAAAGTAAGTTGTGCTAATCAATTTACCCGAAGGAGAAAAAAAAAAAGACTGTGTCACCCGTCTTGGCGATGCACAACGATGCCTGCCAAGCTTTTTCTTCTTTTTCCTTCTGCGAGATGGGGAAGCCCCGAAAAAAGAGCTCGGACGCATCAACTTGACCCGACAGCTCAGGACAGAAAAGGTGGAGAATAATTAGACTAACGTAGATTGGACACGTGATTGAGAGGCAAAAAGGTCTGTGAGAGCGCCACAATACATACTCGCCACTGCTGCGCCACCCTGTTCACCGAAAAGCACCCAATCCCATATCACCGCTGCCAGGCTCCTCACTTGGCGGTCCAGTGAGGTTCAATTGAGCCTCACTTCATACCTGTCCTTTTCGGAGATAAAACCTTGCTGCCTCATTTTATTAAAAAACTCAGACATCAATCTTCGCTCGCTTATAGCCAAACCTTCTCGTCACCAGGACCGCCGCGAAGCACTTTGCCCGACTCCCATCGCGGCGAACCACGGAACCCGCCACCACGCGGGACAAACTCGAAAGCGACGTCACATTACAAAAAGCAACAGCACCATCACCAACACTCCAAATCTCACATCACCCACAAGAAAATGCATCTCTCATACCCCTTCATCATAAGCATGGCAGGCCTCGCCGCCGCCGCCAAACCCCCCTCCAAAGACGCAATCCTCCTCTCCAAAGTCCAATCCCTCACTCTCCGCGGCGGCGGCGCAACAACAACCCACCGCCGCGTCCCCGCCGCGCCCCAGCTCAAGTGCCTCTCCCACCCGTCCCTCTGCAACCTCCACGCCATCGACGTCATGCGCTGCACCAACAACGGCGCCGGCTACGGCCCCGAAGACATCCAGTGGTCCTGCGTCGCCTCCCTGCCCGAGGAGCTCAAGCTCGGGTCCACGGACGTCGTGTGCGAAGGCTACGCCAACGCCGACGACCCCTACGTCCTCCGCGGCAGCTGCGGCGTCGGGTACCGTCTCGCTCTCACGGACAAGGGCGAGAGGCGGTACCCGAACCTGGGCAAAGGCCGTGGCGGCGGTGGCCGTGGTGGCCGTGGTGACGATGACGACGGGACGGATTGGGGAGCCTACGTCTTTGGCGTCATCTTCTTCTCCGTCTTGGCTTGGATTCTCTACTCGGCGTGCGTGGCCGGCACTCAGAATCGAAGGGCTGGTGGAACCGGTCGGCGCCGTGGAGGCGGCGGCGGCGGCGGTGGGCCCGGAGGAGGTGGCGGAGGCGGATGGAACCCCGGCTTCGATCAAGACGACGATCCTCCCCCGCCGTACCCAGGCACCAAACCATCCAGCTCAAGCAACCAGCAGGGATGGCGCCCTGGCTTCTGGACTGGCGCGGGGGCTGGCGGAGCCGCGGGCTACGGCGCGGGTTACTTCCAGGGCAGGAACAGCGCGCGGAACCAGCAAAACTACGGCTCGGGATGGGGCGGTGACATGACCAGCGGTTCCGGTTCCTATGGGGCTGGCCCGTCGAGGTCAACCAGCTCCTCCTCAAGCTCGACCCGTCACGAAAGCACTGGATTTGGGTCGACCAGCAGGAGATAGTAAACTTGAAAGTAGGCATAGAGTAATTTGAACGTCATGTGAGCCAGCTCGACTCTAGGTCTATCCTGTCCTCCACGTGGTCTCGTACATGCTCCTCTCGCCCGCCTCCTACAACTAACTAGTTTGTGATCAGCCCCAAAGGGGAGGTGGGGGACACGACATTATGTACATTTTCCGAGGTCCAGGCCGTCTTCCATACACGTAAAAGTACAACGATCCATCATTTCCAATCGCGAGCGTCTTAAAGGTATCATACCATGAAATCCCCTGCCACGGAAGCAAACTCCAAGCTGCGCAAACGTCTTTGAAGCATATCAAAATAGCAGCCGACACGTGAGCCGAGTCGGGTAGTAAGCCGCACAGGAGCGGCTAGTGGTGAACAGACATGACATCCAGCCGGTCAAAGGCCCTCGAGCAGTTGGGGCACTTGCGCATTCGGTTGCTGATCCGGTCGTCTACGCACTGGTGACAGAAAAGATGCCCGCAAGTCTTCAAGGCCGTATCTTTGAAGTTGTTGCGACACACTGTGCAGAGTGCAAAGGTCTGCATACAGTTAGCTTTCGTTCTACCTCCGGCATGAGGGTGACTCACTCTGAGCATCTCTTCTTCTTCCGACGAGTTGCTCAACGCCTTGCGTTTCCATTCGTCCTTCTCCTTTTGCATCATGTCGGCGCGGACTTTGAGGCGCTCAACGTCCGCCTCTTGGGTTGTGGTGCGCTCCCTGGCCGCAGCCATGGCGGCGTCGCGCGACTTGACCAAGGTGGTCAACTCGCCAATCTGGTTCTTGTAGGAATCGACTCGGCGCGCCGCGTCAGAACTGCTCGACTCCATCTTCTTGTGCTCTGCAGCCATTGCGGCGTTGGCCTGCTTCAGGTCCGAGAGCTGCTTCTCCAGGTTGCTAATCAGTATCCGGTTTTGCGCCTCCACCTCCTTGAGCTGCGCAACAATCTCAGAACTCTTGCGGTTCTGGCTTCGGAGCACACCAAGTTCGCGGTCTCTCATGTCCGCATCCTTCTTCACTGCAAAGTACTTTTGGTCGACCTTTTGCTTCTCGGCGAGTGCGGCCGCTGCCCGATCCTCGAGAACCGTGTACTCCATCACCTTCTTTTGTGCGAGACCCATCGATCGCTTGTACGCCTGTTGGAGAGCGGGCAACTCCTTGTTGATCGACTCGAAATCTTGCTGCAGCTTCTTGTACTTTGAAATAAGTTCATCCGCAGGCATGCTCTCCAGTTCGGGGTCGGGATCCGCCATCGGCTGGTCTTCGGGCTTCAGACGCTGCAGCTCCAATTCCAAGGATGCAATTCGGTCCTCCTGGGCACCCGTGAGCTCCTTGAGGTGCTGCAGCGCCTGCTTCTCCTCCTTTTCTCGGGTTTCCAGCATGTTGGCCTTGGCGTACCACTCGTCCCGGGCGGCGCGGATTCGTGTGAGGTCTGCGTCGCGCTCCTCAACTTGGCGCTCCAGGTCCGATGTTATCGTCTGCGCCTCGTCGTGGAGCTTGGTCCGGAAGGCCGTCCGCTCCGAGTGCAACTTTTCGGCCTCTTCTCGCAACTGCTTGTTTGTGGCCTCTAGGTGGTTGACGCGCTTGATCAAGTCTTCGTTCTGGTTCTTGAACTGCTTGAACACGTCGGTCCGGATGAAATCTTCGTCGGTGAGGCCTTCGCGTCGTGCCTTTAGCGCCGAGTTCTCCTCCTGTAGGGTCTTGATATCGGCTTGCGCAGATTCCAGCTGCTCCTTTTGCTTGTTGACGACCGCCGACGCCTCCTCAAACTTGAGCAGTGCCTCGGCAGCGTTACCGTTTGCCTCGGCGGCATCCTGTCCGTTCTCCCCTGTTGCGATTGTCGGCTTGGCGCTGGCTATGAATTGCTGCTCGAGCTTCTGAACCTGCGCGCTCTTTAATCTGTCCATGCGCTTTTCGGCCTTGAAAAAGCGAAGGCTGGCCTTGTTGAGGTCTTCCGATAGCTGCTCATTCTCTTGCTGTGCACGGTCCAACTTGACCAGATATTCCTTTTGCTGCGCAAGCAGGCTGTTGACCCGAGTCTCCAGGTCAGCAATGTTTGGCGTAATTTCTCCCCTGGCGTTTGCAATGCGATTGAGCACAGCTTCGGCTCGCTTCTTAATATCAGAGGCTGTCTCGTCAAGATGCCTTTGGAACTCGTCGTTATCTTTAAAGTGCGTGCTGGTAATGTACGGAGGGTCTGGATTGTCAGTCTCATGTCGAGGTGGATGCGACAAGGGGACTCACTTGTTGGGCCGGAGGGTGGTGTTGCAGGGTCCACGAGCTGCTCCATCTCCTCTAGAACCTAGTGAGGGGGTCAGCCATGCGACTGAGTCAAGGGATCAGTCAAACTGACCTGCTTCCACCATACTTCAATGATGCGGATATGATCCTCGCGATACACAATATTCTTTTGCAACTGCTCGACGCGTGACTCAAACTCTTGCTTTTCCCTTTTTGTTTCTAGAAGTTGCCGGTAAATGGCGCCCTTTTGGTAATTCTGAACTCATCATCAGCTCGCGCCCTCTCCATGTATTCTTTTCGCACCAGACGATGAAAAGCGTGTGGGATGGTCGGATGCGTGGACAGGGAGACGGAAAACCGTCAGGCAGCCTCGTCGCCCTCGACGGCGGATCGAAAGGCCATTCCAGGCCAGTCGATCGTAGTCCGCCAGTGTTGAGCGTGGCTGGGGGCAGTCGATGATCGAGATGTCGCGTCGCCATTGATGGCACAAGGGAATCGCGTAGGGGCCCATTGATTGTTGAGAAAACTTGATGTGTTGGGGAATACGTGTCTCGTGACACTTACCTCGATCCAGTGTTCCTCGGCGTGGTCGCCACTATCGCCCTTGGACTTGCTTCCATTGACGGATTGATGTCGCTTGCTCGGAGGAGCGAGGTCCTCGGCGGTGCTGATGGGGGGTCTCTTCCTGTCCTCCATCTTGGCCAAGGTGGACGGACGCGGAGAGGCAGTCGGGGCTGAGGTCGCTACAGGCATGAGAAAGGTAGGAGGATGCAGAGACGGTGTATGCGTCCGAGGGTCGGGCAAGGGCGATAAAATGCGCTGCGTGGGACAGCTGAACGTGCTTAGGGATTGATCCGAGCCATGCGAAGGTTGACAGAGTCGTGCTGTGCTGATTCGGCGCGGATGATGGGTGAGGAATACTTGGGGCAAGGAGGTTGAATTTTCGAGGTTGAACGCCGACGCTTCACGTTCAAATCAAGCCAGCCGGTCCACTCCCCAAACGGGACTAGTGCTGCGCTGGCCATTCATGGTCTTATCAACCAGTAAGGCGCCCCGCGCGCTGTACTGCACAGCGCACGTACCGGCTAATTGTCGGGTCCCGCATCTACTTATCAGAAGCACTTTTTCTCTGCATCCCACCCATTTCAGTCACTGTCCCGCCGCGATTGGCAAAAAGTCTGGCTCGCAAAGTGACAATCCACCAGATCCAACTTTCAACCTCAGCCCCGATCATGAGGATATTACCGCGCCGATAAAAAAAGAAAGAAAAGACTAGACACAATCGCCATCATGAGTTCCATGTTCAAGAAAAAAGCCGGCATGGCTTTCAAGCCAAAAATGCCCATGGCCCGTCCTCGAGCGCCTGGAGCAGGAGCAGCAGCACCGCAGCCATCAAGGGCCCCGTCGACGACTGCCGCCGCAATTGCGCCCACAGCAGAGAGTAGCTCGAGCGAATCTACCGAAAAAACCGCGCCGTCGACCGCCGAGAAACGAGCCGATTCGAGGGATACGCCCAGAGACGTGCCTACGAGTACCCCGCCATCGACCGAGCCGAGAACGACGAAGGCTGCCACGCCCCAGACACAACCCACGACGAGCGAGTCCTCTACAAAACCTACTTCCACGGCGGAATCAGCTGGAACAGATCAGTCCACAGAGCCGCCAACACAAACTCGTCCACGGCCACCGTCCGCGACGCCCGCTCCTGCTGCAGAGGCTATTGTCAGCGAGGCATCGACACCAGCCCAACTCCAGACCCCGCCCGCTACTGCTCCCTCGGCCGACGTGGTGCCTTCAACAGAGGACGCGGCGCAGACGGCGGCAACAGACGACACATCAAAGACTGCCGTCAAGAAGGCACCTGCCAAGCGACCTCGAAAACGAGCAACACAGACGAGCGAGACTGCCGAAGAGGGCGAAGAGGGTGCTGCGGCGCCTAAACCCAAAAGACAACGAAAGCAGCCGGCAGACGGGGAAGCCGCGCCGAAACGACCGCCTCGGCCGAGAAAAAAGATGACCACGGAAGAAGGAGAAACGGATGCCGCTACTACTGCCAACAAGCCAGCACGACCTCGACAAGCCCGCTCCGTGACGCCAGAAGATGCGGAGGACCAGGAGGCCGACCTCACCACGCTTACCATGGGCGATTTGACACGAGACTTGCGCATCGGTAAGAAGTTCAGCAGACACGACGAGCTCCTCCAGCGCCACCGCGAGAAGCAGGCAAAGTCCAGAGAGAGACTCAAGGCGAAGAGGAACGGCTCGGAGGATGTGGCTTCAGAGAGCGGGACACCGGCACCGACGAGCGACAAGGCCACGCCGGCAGCCCCTCCGCCGCCGAAACCGACCAGCATGGCCTCCACCGGGCCCCAGTTCCAAATCATTGACGGACAGATTGTGGTGGACCAAAACTCCCTCAGCCTCGATCGACACGCCATCGCCGCTGCGGCCGCCGAGGGCGAGGACATGCTTGAGATTGAAGAAAACGACTTCACGACGCTGACGACCCAGAACAGCTACCGCACGGGCTCCAAGCTCAAGGGCCCCAACGTGTGGAACGAGGAGGAGACGGAGCTGTTCTACCGCGGGTTGCGCATGTTCGGCACCGACTTCCAGATGATCAGCGGCATGTTCCCCGGCAAGAACCGGCGGCACGTCAAGATGAAGTTCAACCGCGAGGAGCGCCACCGGCCCGCGCGCATCGACGCCATCCTCGTCGGCAAGAAGGAGCTGCAGATCGACCTGGAGGAGTACAAGACGTGGACAAAGGCCGAGTACGAGCCCGTCGAGGCCATCATGGCGGCGCAGCGCGCGCAGCAGGCCGAGTTCGATGCCGAGCAGGCCAAGATCAAGGCGGCCAAGGACGCCATCAATGCCAGGAACCTCGCTTCGCTGCAGGACAAGCGCGAGGGCGGAGGGGATGCCGAAGGCGAGGATTCCACGGCGGGCGCTGCTGGCGGCGGCGGCGGTGGTGGAAGCGGCGGCGGCGCCAAACCCAAGAGGCAGCAGGCCAACGTCGGTCCTCAGATCACGGTTGACGCGGACGGCATGATTACCATTGACGAGACGAACATGGACTCCGACGCGGGACGCAAGAAGAGGGGCGCGGGCAAGACGAAGAAGAAGGCCGTGGAGTACAACATGCGCGGCGAGATTATTCACTGAGCACACGGAGGTGTACAGATCACGCACCGGGGGCCAAGGTTCATGGCATTGTGGACAGAGACGCGGACTGCTGGCTTTCCCCCGGTCCTACCAGACAGATACCCCTTTTTTTTTTTGCAATTACACCAGGGGCCCTATGGGCAATGAGGCGGCGTTTGGTATTTCAGTGATTCGTTTATTATTGCAGCGAAGGAAACTCGGGAATTAGGGCGAAAGGAACGGCTAGGGAATCGAGACATCGTCGTCTCAGAAGTACATTCCAAAAAATTCAAATCACTTTATACAATCTGAAAGAAGTACCGTGCTTGTGCCATCATTCAAGACCACCCAGGCTGCATCTGTAACCACCCATTCACGGCAAACTCAACCCCATCATCGTAAACTACGCCCACCTCCCTCACCTATCAAAATCAAAAACACCAAACCACATAAACACCCTTCTTCCTCATACCACCGCCCAAGGCGAAGGTTACTATGACAAGCACAAGGATACAGAAACAGTGCGTGCAGACGTGAAGAATCGTCAAAAGATAAAATCAAAAATTATACCTGGTACGGTTCCCGCAAAGGAGCCCCACACGGCGAGGGGCACGGCCGCGGTACTCACTCTACTGCGCGGGACAGCAGAAGTGTGTGTGTGCAATGCAGGCCCCCCTCCTCCACGACCCGGTACTCTTGATCTCCGCAAGTCGTCAGGCAGGTAAGTATACAAAAGAAACAGCAACTCACACATGGACAGGCGAGGTGTAGGCGTTCTTTTCTAGTCCCCATCTGACATGAGGCCAAATGCCAAATGTGTAGAGGCCAATCAGTCCCTTGGACTGACCCCTGGGACCAACTCACTTTGGCCTCACTCACATAATCAAATGCGCCACAGGCCGGAAGATGGCACTGAAGAGTTGAATTACCCGGTACTACCCGGCCTGGCTACCTAGGACTGACGCCACGCTCTCTCCCAAGCCAGAACAGGAACAATCCTGGTCAAACACAAGCATGAGCAGTTGTAACCGCGAGTAGCTTGCGACCTCCGTATGCGTTCAGATCATTTCACGCATGTTTTCCCCAGATTGCTTGCCTCCACGCCAGCTCTACCGAAAAAGAATTGCATCTTCTACTTCCACGCGGCCACATGCCCGCCTTGCTGATGGGGATACCGCCTTTCCGGACCAGGTATCCTGTGGTCTTTTCCTCACGTCAACGTCGTCCAGCCAACCCCGTCCGGTAATTCCTGAGCCCTGCGTTTCTGTCATAGATTGTGTCGTCATGCGGTCGTTGCGAGTCGGACTTAGTTCTGGGGCGCATCGTCGTCGTCGGGCTGATCAAAGAGGAAGTTTGCGGCGAGCTCCTCGTTCTTGTCGCAGGCAAAGTAGGCCTGGATGGCAGCGTCGCGGTCGAAGCCGAGGCGGCATAACTAAAGTAGTCAGCATCGTGATTCTCATACGATGTCAAGAAAAACCCACCCGCTCAATGGCATCGCGTTCCTCCTCGGTGACCTGAATGGCCTGCGCACCGGGGGGTAGAGGCACATCGTCGTCAACCTCCTCGCCGAGAAGCTGTAGAAACTGGTCGGGGTTGTTGGCGATGAGCTGCGCAAGCTGGGGGTTGCCGGCACCGAGCTGCTGAAGAATAGGCTCCAGCATCTGCGGCTGTTGCTGGACAACCTGGCGGAGCTGTTGGAACTGAGCGTTGTTTCTGAGAAAGTCCAGATTGCCGAAGCCACCCTGTGCGGCGGCAGCGGCAGCAGCAGCGGCGGCGGCCTGGGTGTTGCCGGCGGAGGCGCCACGTCCACCACCGCCGCCACCACCACCACGCGACTGGGCAGCGAGATCAAAGAGGTTGACGTTGCCGTCATCACCGCCGGCCGGCGCACCACCAGAAGGCTGGGCGGGGGCCGCGGCAGCGGCTTGTCGCTGTGCTTGCTCCTCCTGGACGTCTTCGGGGATGCCCTAGTCATTGTCAGCGTCCAGCGAACCAAGTCCTCGAGGTATCGGGTCTCACGCTGAGCAGGTACTCGACGGCTCTGTCGGGATTGTAAAAGGCGGCACGCATGGCGGCGTCGATCTGAGCGCGCTCGAAACCCATGGCCTCCATGTTGGCAATCACCTCCTGGCGCTGAGCGCCCATGGCCATTGAAGGGTCGTTGTTGCCGGCATCGCCACCGGTAGATCTAGCGGCCGGAGTCGGCGTAGCGGGAGCCGCGGCCGGGGCAGCAGCCTGAGCAGCGGGAGCGGGAGGAGCAGCGGGCGTGGAGGCGACACGCTGAGCAGGCGTGGCGGGGACGGCGGGCGCAGACGAGGACTCGGCGGCTGGAGCGGGCTTGGGTGCCTTGGGCTGTTGGATCGTCAGTAGGGTAGACTCGAGCAGGCGCGGGTATTGTCGTCGAAGCTACGGACCTTGTTGACCATGCAGACGACGAAGCCCTTCTCCTCAATCTTGTAGGACTCGACCGTGTCGTCGTCCTTGAGGATCTTGCCTAGTATAGCTGTCAGCCGGAGCCATCGCCTTCCTACAGGTGGCGGGGTTGCCTACCA